GGTTGCGTGTGCGCATGTGGATTGCGTGTGCACATGTGGGTTGCCGTTGCCGTGTGTGCGAGAAAGAGAGAGAGTGGGGAGGAAGAGAGGAGCAAAGAGAGGAGTGAAAAGGGTGGGGTGGAGAGACGCGCATGTGTAAATCAAGCAGGCTGAATTGGACAGAAAAATGCACATAACAAATGCATATTATTGTATTGGCGTGTAGTGAAACTAGTACATAATAATATACCTGCAGAGCCTAGCGCACCTTTGGGTATTGTTGGATATTCCCGTAAATGTAGGCTTTGTTATACCTCTAGTAATGACTGCACTTGTAATTATTACAGTACCTGTAGATAATGGGATGTGGATTGCGGCGAATCTTCACGACGTTACAAATCCACTGCAAATAAATACACGCGAATGAAAAGTGGGGAGCGACGCGCACGACTAGGAACAAGCGCATCAGGGGTTTGGGGCACAATGTATTGCGGAAGCACAATGGGGCAATCAGGCAGAAAACTGAGGCATCTTGAAAATGGGGTATCTTTGAACCGAGATGCATCTTCTAAGCCCCCATTCAAAGCTTATCTGAGCACCCATGAAATTATGAATGTACTACATTAGGAATGAGAACTTACCCATGCAGCCTTGCCCTTCCTGGCAAGCTTCTGCTGGCGCCTACAGGGATACATGGGCGAAAGAAACACCTCCTTCACCTGTAAACCCCAACCTTGCTTCAGTTATAACCGTGTGTATGTATGTACTACAGCGGAATACTCACCCAAGCGGCCTCGCCCTTCCTGGCTAGCTTCTGCTGGCGCCTACAGGGATACATGGGCGAAAGAAACACCTCCTTCACCTGTAACGAGTGGGTATAGGAAAACAAAAAAACCAAGAGATTCAGTGTGGTAGATTTATAATGCTTCTAAAGGAATGAATAAAGGGGGCAAAATCCTATGAGGGTTCCCAAATTCAGAACTCGGGGATAGATTGCGTTGGTGGGAGACCCATGATGGCCGTGGTGTACATCACACAACAACCTTAAAGCCTTCCTCGCACCACAATTCTGTACTGGGAATCGAAGCAACAAGTGCAGTGCAGCAAAACGTTGCAGGCCCTGATAGGGGTGAAAAGTATCAGAGCGAAGTTTCGATCCTCGGACCTGTGGGTTATGGGCCCACCACGCTTCCGCTGCGCCACTCTGATCTGTTTAGGATGCTTGGAAAACTAAACACAAACCCTACCCCGATCCTCCACTCATCCTTCCCTCATCCTCCTCTCATCCTTCCCTCATCCTCCCCTCATCTTTCCCTCGTCCTCCCCTAATCCTCCCTCCCACTCTCCCCTCATCCTCCCCTCATCCTCCCCTCATCCCCCCCTCAATCCTCCCCCCATCCCATCCCAAATAAACCTCCACCCTCCCCCATACACCCAATCCCAGCCCTCCCACAATTTCCCTCCCCAACCCCCCCAGCCACACCACCTTCTCCCATCCTTTCCCTCAAAGGCGCTTTCCCTATCTCCCCACCCTTACACCCCCCCACTCCCTCCCCCCCCACCCCCTTCTCCTCCACCCCGCCAACCACTCCCCCCGCCCCCATTCCCCCTTTTCTCACCTTCCCCGCATTCCATCCGCGGAAGGGAGGCTTGGGCCTGCTTCCGCCCCCCTTCCCTCCGTTAGCCCGCACCTTCCCCCCAAATCCCCCCCTTTTCTCTTCCTCCCCCTCCCTTCTCCCCTCACCTTCCCCGCATTCCATCCGCGGAAGGGCGGCTTGGGCCTGCTTCCGCCCATCATTTCGTTGCGCTGCGCCAGGTGCATCTGGGGGGAAGAAATAGGGGAAGACGGAGGGGGAGGAGGAGTTCAGTGGGATGGAGGAAATGGCAGGGGGGGATGAGAGGGAGTTGGGGGGAGTTGCGCCTGCTTCCGCCCATCATTTCGTTGCGCTGCGCCAGGTGCATCTGGGGGGAAGAATGGGGGAGGGGGGTGGGGGGAGAGAGTTGGGGGAAGGCGCGGGAAATGGCAGGGGGGAGATGGGAGGGAGGTTGGGGGAGTTGCACTTGCTTCCGCCCATCATTTCGCTTCGCTGCGCCAGGTGCATCTGGGGGGAAGAAAAGAGAAACGGGAGGGGAGTGGGGGGTGGGGGAGGGAGGGAATGTGGAGTGAATGTGGCGGAGGAAAAGTGTTACCCTGTTACACCGTCCATTCGTTAATTTTTACGCGCGTTCAAGGGAATGTGGGGAGGATGTGGGGGAGGAAATGTGCTACCCGGTTACCCGTCACCCTCCAATCATTGATTTTTTAACGCATTCAAGGGCTCTTTTGTCTGTCGACCCGCCTCAAAACTCAGATTCGGCTCATTGTGTGCAGTAAGAATCTAGAATTTAAAGCACAGCCTATTTTTTCTCACTTACAGAAGCACCTCATCACGAGTTCAAATGAGTCTCTTCTTTCACCAACCACGAAAACCAACCATGTGACATTGTACTCGTTATAAGCGCACCTGATAAACAGCCTCGCCATGGGTGAAATCCGCCTCGTCGATCGTCTGCTTCTTCCTCTCAGGCCCTCCGACGATTGGCTTCGATAAATCGAAGTCCGACAGAAACGGAACGTTTTCCTTTCCGCTTCCTGCTCCGCCCGCCTCCCCCGCCGCTGCGCCTGCGCCTCCCGCGGAGCCTCCGCCTTGCGCTTCCGCCGGTTTCTTCGCAACTGTGACGGGTGGAACGGCGAAGATGGTAACGGATGCGCCTGTAACGAGGATGAGAATCATGCAAACGAACGCTGCGAAGAGGAAGAGGGCGAACGACGCGAGAAGCGCTCGCACGAGCGAGTCGCCCTGGCTGGCGCGCTTCCAGCCTGCGCGCTTCGGGTTCATGGCGCTTTTCTCTAGCTATGTACCTTCGCTGAGTATAGGACACTAGAAACCGGAATAATAGTATTAGAGTAAGTAATTACCGGGACGTCGGTCCGCAACTATGCAGGCAGAGAGCGGTGGTAAACAACTTGACTTATTACAATCTTCTCTAGGAACGGAAAAGTGGATTTGAGCGTATTATCGTGTTGCTGAGACAACAAAATATGTCTGAAGGCGAAAAATAGTGTGCAACACGCTGCCATACGCCCCATATTTTCATTGCCCAACCGGGTAGCTTCATTTCGGTTTAATCTGTTTTGAATCGGTGGAGAATAGTCCTATATGGTGGCGAGGGAAAAATTTCCGCATTGATGCGCTGTCATTGCCTGCTTGCTGCTGCTGCAGAGGCGCCCACATGCTACAGTACCACCATGTGGAAGTTGGTGTGGGGTGGGCTGAAACCAAGGCCGTCCAATGATTGTTTGCCACCTCTGAAGCGAAACACGCAAGCTGGGACAAGGCGAGGCGATATTTCCAAAACCCGGGACAGAGCGCTTCACTACGGTTTAGTAGGCTGAGATGAGAACTTATCCACTCTAGTAAGAAGGTTGATACATATTTCTGTATACTCAATGAGGGTATCTCACGTGTGCCGGATATTGCAATACCTTTTGCCAGGCAGCATTGCACAATCAGGTGATCACAAGATAAGTCGTACAGATAAACATATTTTTCGATGCCAGGTGGCATATGCCATCGTCCATGAATGGCTTGGGCATCGGCGAGTAATCTCTCCATATTTCAACAGGAGTGCTGTGCAGGATGTCGGTTCACTGGTGGCTGTGCAGTGGAACCAGCCCCACTAGTATGTAGTGCTACTTTACCACTGCTTGGTAAACATGTTTGTGAAACCTACACTTCATAACTTATTGAACCACACGGAAAATTTACAGAGCAGCGGTACCGTATGTGAGAACAAAGAAGGGGAGAGAGAGAGAGGGAGGGAGGTCGCAAGCGACACGGGGGGGGGGGGGGGGAATGAGCGGGGGGGAAATGAGTGAGGGAGAAGGTGCGGGAACGCTAGGGAGCGAAGGGGCGAGGGGAAGAGAGAGAGGAAAGAGAGGGAGGGAAAGAGAGAGAGGGAAAGAGAGAGAGGGTAAGAGAGAGAGGGAAAGAGAGAGGGAAAGAGAGTGGGAAATAGAGGGAGAAAGAGAGGGAGAGAGAGGGGGAAGGAGAGTGAGGGAAAGAGAGAGAGGGAGAGAGAGAGAGGAAAGAGAGAGGGGGAAAGAGAGAAAGGGAAAGAGAGAGGAGCGAGGAGCGAGGGAGCGAGAGAGAGGGAGCGAGAGAGAGGGAGCGAGAGAGAGGGAGCGAGAGAGAGGGAGCGAGAGAGAGGGAGCGAGAGAGAGGGAGCGAGAGAGAGGGATCAAGAGAGAGAGAGAGAGAGAGAGAGAGAGAGAGAGAGAGAGATAGAGAGAGAGAGGGAGAGAGGGAGAGAGGGACGGGGGGGGACAAGAGAGAAACGGTGGGGGAGGACAGCGGCGGGAGGGAGGGCGCGGGAGGGATGACAGGTTGGAAGGAGGTATGAAGGGAGGGAGGGAGGGAGGGAGAGAGGGAGGGAGGGAGGGAGGGAGGGAGGGAGGGAGGGAGGGAGGGAGGGAGGGAGGGAGGGAGGGAGGGAGGGAGGGAGGGAAAGAAGAAGGTAATAAGGTGAAGGCTGGCGAGGGGGGGATGCAGTAGTAAGGAAGGAAAGTGGGAGGAATGGTGAAGGATTAGGGGAGGAAGAGGGGCGGAAGGGGGTAGGAAGAGGGAAGAGAGAGGAGAGAACGAGGGAGGAAGAGGGAGGAAGAGGGAGGAAGAGCGACGAAGAAGGGAGGTGGGGGGGAGAGGGGAGGTGCAGAACAGCGAATTTGATGCGAGGGAGTATGGAAAAGACGGGAAAGAAGGGGGATGGAACGCGGAGAATGGGGAAAAACGGGATACGGAGGAGCGGGAAATGGGTGTGTCGAATGGGGAACGAGGTAGTGGGTGGATAGGGGGATGGGGAGTGGGGAATAGGGAAGGCAAAAATGGCAATGAATGCGGAACTCAAATTCCTGAGGGTTGTTTCATTCCGTGCCCTTATTTAGCCGGTGATATATTCTTGAACACCCAAATGCTCGCTCAATGGGGACATGGGGAATGAGATCACTAGAAAGGTCTTAACCCAGACTTGCAACTAATAAAAAGTTCGTAAGGCCCTAACGAATCTACTCGTTACTAGCAGATCTCAAGCAAGCCGCTTCATTACCGAAACGAACTCCCAATCCTGCTATAACCATACTGCAACTCACTGTTCTTCCGATCGCTGACGCGAGCACACTGGCATCAAACGAATCGGCTTCAAACGAAAGCTTCTTGATCCGCGACACCCGCCGTGGTAACTCAGCGAAACCAGAAACGGGTTACAAATTCACGTCGCCGTAACCGCCGCGCCCGGCCGCGCGTGCGGCATTTCGCGAGCGTTGCACGCAGATCCAGATCCCAAAAGACAGAGCTCCGACTCCGAGAATCACTCCAATCACCGTCCCCGCGATCACTCCGCTGCTCGGTCCGCTCGACGACGCGGGCGGCGCAGGTGTCGTCGGAGGCGGCGGCAGCGGCGGCGCCGGCGGAGTCAGCGATTGCGCGACATTGAACGGCGGAGATGCGTAGTCCTCATCTGGCGGAATATACTGGTCCCCCGGAAAGTTGTCCTGATTCACCCCCCCTGCCTCCGACGGGGGGGCGGAATCCACTGGGGGGGATTTCGGCAGAGGTTTTCCCCCTTCCGGCGGAGGAGTTGGGGCGTCAACTGGGGGCGGCGCGGGCGGAGAGATCTCGGGGGAAGGCGTGGGCGGAGAGATCTCGGGGGAAGGCGTGGGCGGAGAGATCTCGGGGGGTGGCGTGGGCGGGGGAACGGGGGGCAAGGATGGAGTGGGGGCAGGCGCGGGCGCGGGTTGCGGAGCGGGGACAGGGGGAGGGATGGGCGGAGCGATGGGCGAATCGATGAACGCGGGCGCGGGCGTCGGTGAGGGCGCGGGCGTCGGAGAAGGCGCGGGCGTTGGGGAAGGCGCGGGCGTTCGGGCCGGCGCGGGCGTTCGGGCCGGCGCGGGCGTTGGGGAGGGGGACAGAGTAGGCTCCGGAGCGGGTGCAGCGACTGGGGGAGGAGGGGGCGGGGAGGCCTTGGTTGGGGGAGGGGAGGCCTTGGTTGGAGGGGAGGCGCTGGTTGGAGGGGAGGCGTTGGTTGGAGGGGAGGCGTTGGGGGGAGGGGAGGCCTCGGGGGGAGGGGGGGGCTTGTGGGGCGGAGGCGGCGGCGACTTCCCTAGGGATGGGGCGACGAGAAGCGCGAGGAGAACGAACAGCACTTGGATATGCGCAGATCCGCGCGCGCGCGCCATGTTTCCGCTCGCGTGCAATGCGCTGCGCGATGCGCGCGTGACTGCGGAAAAGACCCGGCGAGAGTATCACCGCGAGATTTGCGGCGGGGATAAGGCTGCAAGCGCGGACCCTGACCCGACAAGATGGCTGCGGCTCCGCAGCAATGGGGCCTCAGTGAGCTTTGAGCTGATCGAAGAAAATGCGGCAGGGTGAACAGACCCTGAATGTGGAAGAGGTTCCACTACCGCAAAATGAAGGGGCACAGCAGCCAGCTAGGCTGGCAAAAATTTCAGGGGTGCTGGGATTTGAAGGAATGAGTGGTGTGGTGTGGATGAGAATGGAGGGCAGGTAGGGGCGGAAACAAGTTGGGTGAATGTCAACGCAATGGGCGGATGTGTCGTGTCGAATGTCCAACCAAAGCTCTCGCTTGCCTGCCTTCACTGCCGCCAAGGGATTGCCGAGGCGCAGGTAGGGGCGAACTTAGCGGGCGAAAGTTTGGAGAAAGGCGTAAACACCAATGAAAGCGGCATGGTCGAGGTTCGGAAGGTAACGAAACGTGAAGACGCTGGTTTGACATCTCACGACAAATTAGGCACTCTGGCTTCGTTCTCGTTTGGCTTGCATTCAATGGTTCGTGGAGGTTTGGAATAAGGCTCGGCACTAATGGCTTGGAGAGTGTTGGTGTGCGGATGCCACACCGATTTGCGTGCGGACGCAGGTCTTTCGCCAGATTCGCAACTGGGGTGTTCAGGGGGTAGTTCGCGCATCACCGAGCTTGTTGGCGAAACAATCGCATGGGCAGCCGGGTTCGCACGAAAATCCCAATCTTTCGAGGGGCGTGATTGGCCAGAAGTTTCAAGCATCCGCGAATCTCGGAAAATGGAAGCACCCATTGAGATTCGTCGTTATGCACTACGTAACACGATGGTGTACATACACTTTGAATGCTGAAAAGTAATACAGTAGCTAACCCTCTTTCCATCTATAGCCACACCTCATGTTACAGCACTTGTAAAATATTGTCATGGGCTCATCAGCCGATCGGGTTTGGATTTGCATGAAAAACGCTTGCGAATGACCACACTTGGGACATGACGCTGCAAGGAAAACCACCGGGGGGGGGGGGGGGGGGGGGGGGGTGGGGGGGAGGAGGTGGGGAGGGTGGGATATTGCATCAACCAACAATACAACAGAACACAAAAAGCTCGCAAGTTCTCTCCCATGCATTCATTTCAAAGTTTTATATTTTGCTGAATGCGCACCTTCGGTTTTGTCGACATTTTTCCACGCGTCCTCCCCTCCCAACACGTCATCCACCTCCTTTTGCACCACCAGTTGGCGCCTTGAAATCTGCATTATGCACGGGGGGGGGGGGGGGGGGGGGGTCGGGTGGTCACGAGGGGTGTGGGGAGTGGGGAGTGGGGAGTGGGGGAGGGGGGCTACTGGGGAGCGGACGTACAGGTCTTGCGATGAACACAGAGCCTTTTGAGACGTCTCAAAAGTCATCATTGGCCGGCGTTGACTAGCATTGACTGGCAACACTCTCACCCTTCGCGTGATGCATTGACTAGCATTGACATACGTTGACTGCAATGGCTCACCTTCCTGGTGATGCCATAGACAGGGGCACGTCTGACAGAAGAACCAAGCCATTGACTGGCGTTGACTAGGATTGACTGTATTGAATTCAACTCACCTTCCTGGTGATGCCATAGACATAGGGGCACGTCTGACAGAAGAACCTCGCCTCTCGCCCCATGTGTGCCTGCTCCACCAGCAGCATGTTGGCACACGTGGGGCAGAACTCCATCTAGACGCGCTGTTGCGTTGATAGCACAAGGGGAAGTAGAAGGAAAGGATTGGGAAGCAGGTGAGAGAATCGCGCCTCTCGCCCCATGTGCGCCTGCTCCACCAGCAGCATGTTGGCACACGTGGGGCAGAACTCCATTTATGCGTTGGAATGCTGGGAAGACGTGGAGAATGAGAAGGGAAGGACAGAAAGGTAGCTGAGACTGAAGAAGCGCGCTTTTCTTGCCCCAGGGAAGAGGAGAATGACAAGGGAAGGACAGAAATATAACTGAGACAGAAGCTGCGCTTCTCTCCCCACGTGAGCCTCTCTCTCCCCACGTGGGCCTCTCTCCCCCCACGTGGGCCTCTCTCTCTCCCCAAGTGAGGGAGAGGAGATTTTGGAGGAGGGGTAGGTATTGGGTAGGGTACATAGGGGAGTGGTTAGTGGGGAATATGGGGGGAGAAATGGATGGGTAGGGGGAAGAGGGGTACTGGATAGGAGGGAGGGGACTGGATAGGGGGGAGAGGGGTTTGGGTAGGAAAGGATAGAGGATTGATTATAAGAGGAGAGGGGATTGGGTGAAGGGGAGTAAAGGGGGAGGGGATTGGGAAAAGGGGAGAGTGGATAGGGTATTGGGGAGAGGAGGGGGATGAGCTGCGGAGAGGAAGCGCCTTCCCGCATTTCGCGGGGGCTCAATCGTACCTGGAAAAGGGTAGGAAGGAAACGTAGCAGATGGCGCCGCAGTTGGCGCCGCTGTTGACGGGGCACCGAGAACGCCCAGCTGTGGCTCACATGGGTGTCTTTAGGCGACACTGCGGGATCCACTGCGCGCGACTCTGCGGAGGACACTGCGGACGACACTGCGGGAGAAAAAGCTGCTTTTCTGTCAGGACCAAAAACAAAGGTTATAAGGAAATTATTATTTTCATTGGTGCATGGGTGTTTGGTCTAGTGGTTTGATTCTCACTTTGGGTGCGAGAGGCCGCGAGTTCGATTCTCGCAACTCCCCGTTTTGCTTTTGTGGTTGATTTTTTCCCCTCCTGCTCCTTCTATTTTCTCTGCTAGTCCTTGATATCTCTCTACGGCGTCGCTTGTCCAATTTTCATTACCTTTCAACCTCGTGAGTGCCAAGGCACGTGCTACAGCAGACCAACCCTTCACACCCCTTTCATCCCTGCCAAACAGCCCCTAAAGCTATCCAACTACTATAAACCGCCTCCATAGCACATCCTACGTGTGTGTCCATACAGCCTTGAGATCTTTTGTCCATGGTGGTACCTATGTATCTGCTCACATTTTCCCACAAGGCAGAGCAACACCAGGCAGCCTATCCCTATCATGGGGAGCAGTATGAATCCCTAGCTCACGGAAATAATCCAAAAAAGGGGTTGATTTGATGGAAGGGTGGCTTCAGAAATACGGTACCAATGGGATTTGATATGCGGCATCTATGTAGTAGCTCTGGTCCTTTTTCTATATACATTAAATACATTGTAACATTGATCAATTGCACCACTCACTCATTTCCACAAGGCAGAGCAACACGGGGCAGCCTGTGCCTATCGTGCGGCGCAGTGTAATCAATACCCTGACCCATAGGAATGATGCCAAAGGGGTTGATTGAAGGGTGGTTTCAGATATGGTGCGACTTGATGTGCAAAGACCATGGAATGAATATGGCCCTTTCTCTATTACGGTACTGAAAGAGCAGTATATTTGAACACGATCAATTACACCACTCACTCCTTTCCACAAGGCAGAGCAACACCGGGCAGCCTGTCCCTGTCATGCGGCGCAGTGTAATCAATACCCTGTCCCATAGGGATTATTCCGAAGGGGTTGATGGAAGGGTGGCTTCTGAAATAGTGAGACTTGATATGCGCCATGTTCACTGTAGAGGCTATACCGGGCAGCTGGTAAATTTCCTTGGTGTAGTTGAAGAGGTTGGGGAATTCGCGGATGAAATTGCGGTTACACTTGAAATGAACCACGTGCACCTTTACGGTGTGTATGTTGCGGGGGCGGGAAAGGGAAAGAGAAGGGTGTGTGTGAGTGGGGTGGTGGAGATTTGTGTTCAGGTGTGGTGTGTGTGTGAGTGTGTGTGTGCATGTGTGGGTGAGTGTGTGAGTATGTGTGTGTGTGTGTGAGTGTGTGAGAATGTGTGTGTGTGTGTGTGTGTGTGGGTGTGTGTGCATGTGACGTTGTAAGAACCAGGATGATACGGCCGTTTTTCGCAGGGGAGTGAACTAAATCAGTCAAGATGGTAGTAATACCAGGAACGGACCTGGGTTACAAAGGCTACTATGCTCAGCATTGTGACGAGAAAGAGGAAATTACGGCCGTACTCAAAGGTACACCTTACAATGTGCCGGAGTTACTTGGGCGTAGCTCGTCGAATCGAATGAGAGTGACAAACAGGCGAATGTCTGCCTCTGTGAAGGCTTCCCCTGCTTTGTAGTGCTGGGACTCTGGCTCAAACAGTCACTAGGCGTACCAATGTTCACCCCGAATAATGGAAAGGTTGCAAGGGTTACTAAGGCGTACCTCGTCGAATCGAATGAGAGTGACAAACAGGCGAATGTCAGCCTCTGTGAAAGTGTCTCCTGCAATGTAGCGCTGGCGAGACAAGATGTCCTCACAGCGATCGAGAGCAGCAAAGAGCTCCTTGAACGCCTGGGAGTGGGCGTGCAGAGAGCAGAGGGGACAAGACATGAACACAGGAATGCCAATAAGTGCTTCTTGATTGCTGACGGGACAAGATGTCCTCACAGCGATCGAGAGCAGCAAAGAGCTCCTTGAACGCCTGGGAGTGGGGGAGATCGAGCAGGAGAAGAAGAGGGGAGCGAGAGCTGTTTCAGCAATGGCATATCCTTGAGAGCTCCTTCAAAGACTGGACGTGGTAGACTAAGGGGTGGACGGAGAGTGAGGGGTGGACGGAGAGTGAGGGGTGGACGGGCGGAGAATGCATGAGTAAACATCCACCTGTCCTCATTTCTGCAGTGATTCGACTCACCTCCTCGTATGGGCCTTATTTCTTGGCAAAGCCGCAGCGATACACGCCGTTGTTGATCGCTGGATACACCCACTCGTTCACCCCGCCCTATCACAGGCACAGGGGCACCCACAAACCCACCCACCCACCCACCCACCCACCCACCCACCCACCCACCTCTTCATATGGGCCTTGCTTCTTGGCAAAGCCGCAGCGATACACGCCGTTGTTGATTGCCGGATACACCCACTCGTTCACCTCATCGATTGCTGCTCGCAGGTGGGGCGGGTAAAGGTCCACCTGAGGAGGAGTGGTGAAGGAAAGGCGCGAGTGAGAAGGGTGAAAGGAAGAGGGACGCCGCTGCTGATCGCTGGATACACCCACTCGATCACCTCGTTGATTGCTGCTCGCAGGTGGGGCGGGTAAAGGTCCACCTGAGGATGTGGATGGGAGAGGGAAGGGGAGGGAGGGGGGAGAGGGGTTGCGCATGGGAGCATCCACCCAAGCACGGGAGCACGGAAGCGACACGCATGCCCGGGTGCCCAGCATCTCCTTTTGAGTCGTCTCAAAAAGCATCTCCTTTCGCCTCAACAATTGCTGCCCACAGGTGCATCATCCGGGCAGATGTAGACGTCTATTGTCTACCTGCAGGTAGGCGTGGGTATTTGATAGCCGGCGGGTATGGGAGGAGAGGATGGGGGGCGAAGAGAGAGGAGGAGGTCACATGGCCCCCCTCCTTCATGCATGAATCCATATGAGACTGTTTAGTCACCCTAACACTGCTGAATTCACCTGACACTGCTGAATTCACCTGACACTGCTGAATTCACCTGACACTGCTGGATTCACCTGACACTGCTGGATTCACCTGACACTGCTAAATTCACCTGACACTGCTGAATTCACCTGACACTGCTGGATTCATCTGACACTGATAAATTCACCTGACACTGCTGGATTCACCTGACACTGCTGAATTCACCTGACACTGTTATAAATCATGCTTACCTGAGGGTGCTTGGCTATGGCGTTGAATTCCGAGTTGAGCATTCGCACGATCTCCGCACTCTCGTTGTTCACTATGGTGCTTGTTTGCTTGTCCCACAGGACCTACAAGGAAGAGCAGGAGAGCACAAAACAGGAGAAAAAGGGGTTTAAGTTACGCATTCGCATGATGTCGCTGCGCTAACGATGCCGCTCTCCTTGTCCCACAACAGCTGAGAGTGAGAGAGGGAGGATAGAAAATCCAAACAAGGAAATCTGTAAGCCAACTATCCACCCAGCCACACCCACCCACCGCCAGTGCCGCCCCCACTCCCACGATTCTCTCACGAACACCAAAACCCAGCCCCAATCCCACTCGCACCCTCACTCGCACCCCTCACTCGCGCTCTCACTCGCACTCCCACTCGCACTCCCAGACACACACTCACACGCACAATGAACTTGATTCTGCTTTTGAGTCGACTCAAAAGCAGACAATGAACTTGGCGGCACAGGGGTCCGCCTTCTCATACACGTCCCTCCGGAAGAGAGCATTCAGAGGGTCCCTCTCCGCCCCTGCCACCTCCGCCTCTCCCCCTGAGAACTCCCACCAGGCCCTGAACTGGGCCCAGACACACACCCACAGAGGAACCCCCACCACTCACACGCACAATGAACTTGACGGCAAAGGGATCCGCTAAAGGGTTCTCATACACGTCCCTCCGGAAGAGAGCTCTGCTGAGGGGGCCGCTCTCTACTCTTACTTACAGGAACACACTCCCAGACCCACAGGGACAAGAACACTCACAGACTCACAGGCACGATGAACTTGGCAGTACAGGGGTCGACCTTCTCATACACTCCCTCAGAAAAAGGGCTCCGTTTAGGGGGTCGCTCTCTACTCCTGCCCCCTCCGCCTCTCCCCCTGGCGCCACGAACAAGCCCCAAACCACGTGCCATGCCACATGCCATCCACAGTTACAGGGACAATGAACTTGGCGGCACAGGGGTCGACCTTCTCATACACGTCCCTCAGGAAGAGGGCTCCGTTCAAAGGGTCGGTCTCTGCCCCTGCCACCTCCGCCTCTGGTGTTGGAACAACAACCCACCCATTCACACCCAGTCACACCTACTCCCACCACTCACAGGGACAATGAACTTGGCAGCACACGGGTCCGCCTTCTCATACACGTCCCTCAGGAAGAGAGCTCCGTTAAGAGGGTCGCTCTCTGCCCCTGCCACCTCCGCCTCCCCTCCCGGCGCCACGAACTGCCAGCCCACGTGGTCGTCCCCCTCCCTCGTGCGTTTCCATACAGGCTCCACCACCTGAGAGAGGGTTTGAAGGATATGGGGACACAGAGGGTGGGAGCAGGGGAATGAGAGTATGGGAAGGGGGAAATGGACATGAGTGTCGCTCTCTGCCCCTGCCACCTCCGCCTCTCCCCTCGGCGCCACGAACGGCCAGCCCACGTGGTCGTCGCCTTCCCTCGTGCGTTTCCATACAGGCTCCACCACCTGAGATGAGAGGGCGAGGGCGAGAATAAGAGCAGGAGAACGCGAGCAGGGGAGAGGGGAAGGGGAATGAGGGAAAGATGAGTGCCGCTCTCTGCGCCTGCCACCTCCGCCTCCCCTCCCGGCGGCACAAACGGCCAGCCAACGTGGTCCTCCCCTTCCCTCGTGCGCTGCCACACTGGCTCTACCACCTGGGATGAGAGGGGAATGGGGGAAAGCAGCAACGGAGAGGGGAATGAGTGTCGCTCTCCGCCCCTGCCACCTCCGCCTCTCCCCTTGGCGCCACGAACGGCCAGCCAACGTGGTCCTCGCCCTCCCTCGTGCGCTGCCACACCGGTCCTACTACCTGTGAGAGTGGGAGAATGGGGGGGAATGGGAGCAGGGGGGAGGGGAATGTGTGAATGTGTCGCTGCTCTTCGCACCTGCCACCTCTGCCTCTCCCCCCTCCGCCTTTCCCCCCGTTTCCATACGGGTTCCACAACCTGAAATGAGAGAATAAAGCAGCGGGGTGAGGGTAATGTGCTTATAACGGAAACTGCTTAGAGTCACGGAGATGGGGTTCTCGAGCCCCAGACGCGTGACGTTGAGAATTCCCCCGTTGAGCGTCAATAAGCACACTCATGTTCGCTGCTCAAGTCACTGTAATGCTTGTACAGTGCCTACAACGGATGTGATTATAGCGGAAGCAGAAGCGCTTCTAACGGGGGGATTCTTACAGTCACACAAATGGCGTCCTCGGGCCCCTTGAGCTTGAGCGCCATGAAGCACATTCATGCTCGCTTTAGTCACTGTAATGCATATAGCGGAAGTGACTATAGCGGGAGGTGCTTACAGTGATGAGAAACTGCATCCTGGAGCCCCTTGAACTCGAGCGCCATGAGCGCCATGAGTCAGTTTTGTACCGCACTGTCATATAACAGCACAGTCACACAACTATAGTCACCCCCACGTACAGTCACACTATAGTCACCCCCACGTACAGTCACACTATAGTCACCCCCACGTACAGTCACACTATAGTCACCCCCACGTACAGTGACGGAAATGGCGTCCTCGAGCCCCTTGAGCTTGAGCGCCATGAGGCAGCGACACGCCCAGGGGCACGCGTAGCTCACGTACAGGTGGTACCTGGGGGCGGTTGGAAGGGGGGAGGGGGAGGGGAAGGGGGAGGGGGAAGGGGGCCGGGGGCAGTTGGGGGAGAGGAGCGCCAACCATGCACGCCCAGGGGCAGGCGTAGCTCACGTACAGGTGGTACCTGGGGGCGGTGGATGCGGTGGAGGGGTGGAACAGGGGGAGGTTGCTACTGGTAATGGAAACAGAGAAAGAGCGCCAACCAGGCACGCCTAGGGGCAGGCGTAGCTCACGTACAGGTGGTACCTCGTCCGCGCTAATAACCACAGCAAAACGGACCTTCTTTGATCCTATCCATCTACATAACTGCCGGCGACGGCGGGGAATCCGCTGGACCCATCCGCGGTGATGACGCTGCGGATCGCGGAGGGCGTGCGCCGCCAGAACGCGCCGTCCGGGCTATAACGCACTTGATTACCGCGTACAAGCGTACCTGCCGGCAACGGCGGGGAATCCGCTCGACCCATCCGCGGTAATGACGCTGCGGAAGGCGGAGGGCGTGCGCTTATACGCGCCGTCCGCGCTCGTCTCCTGAATCGCCGTCACCACCATGGCGGGCGCTGCTGCTGACGTGGCGGGATCTGCTGACGTGGCGATCGGATCAGAAGAAGACCTCGTAGTCACTGCGGTGGCTTGTCGAACGCGCGAGCGACGACTGGAAGGCTGGTGCTGCTGCGGCAGGCACGGCGATTGCGGCAGCAAGGATTGTTCGAAGAGGAACGTGGTTGAATTGTTTGCGACCCGGTCGCCACTCGCGAATTTCTTGAATTTCGTGAATCTCGCCAATCTCGAAAATCTCGGAGCCGGTGGGACCGTCGAGTTACATACGCTCTTAGTAGGCGATCGAAACTGCTGGAAACGGCAGGGTTCAGGGGCGGTAGCAAAAGTAAAAGGAAAATCAGGCGAGCGCGAAGACTGATGCTCAGCAAGAATTCTGACTGGGACGGAGGCAGCGAGACGTGCGGACAGCGGCAGGCGAAGGGCTGACGACCCAACAGTCGCCATGTCTGGTTTCGGCTGGTTTTCGCGATTGCAGAGGAGAGAAGGATGACGAAGAAGGAAAAGAAACGCGTTCTTGCCACTAGCCTTATTTCCCACTAGCCTTACCCGCGATTTCTGCCTGTTCTCTCAGAGAATTACTGGGAGACTGTCACGACAAAGATGATGAGAAGATCCAGACCCCGAGGAGAAGGTGAAGCGGAAATGGTGCGAGAAGCAAGAAGTGGAGGACAGGCGCAGATATGAAGCCAAAATCTGAAACATGTGACGGACATTTTGCCACGATGCGATTTTATAATTGCGGGATTTGCAGGTGACGAGAATTGGACGACAGCGTGCCTTCAGCGAAGTGCGCGAAGAGAAATTCGAGTTGCATGGAACTTGTGCGTTAGGCGAAATAGCAATCTTCGTTGGCAGGTCGGAGGTGCTGAAGGGCGTGGATGCATGTGGTTTGTGTAACCACCTTCGCAGAGCTTGGTTCTCGAACCACCTCTGGAAGGAGGAAACAATTCCGAGAAGGTGCCTAGAATTTTGTAGCTTCTCGGAACTGCTATACAGTACCATCTCTTTACTGTACCAACTCTCATCGTATACAGAACGAACTTGCTTCCATAAGCCGGGTCTAGCCATATCGAAGCACGAAGAGTGATAGACTCGGCCATGTTTTTATACAAGCTGCGGTCGTCTTGTTTTTAGACGGAGCTATCTGTAACGAGTAATAGTTCGGTCTGATGCAATTTCGCTAGCTCCTTCGCTAGACCAACGAAGCTGCGGAGGAAACTAACACTCCCGTCAAGTGCGACCTTGATCGGCTTGCCAGCGTGGCATAGGCTCCCCAATCGCAACAAGCACCCGAGCCTTCAAACCACAGGGCGTTCGACGTCTGTCAAGCTTCCGATCCGCGTCGTAGCTCCATGATTGGTCGGGTGGCTGGTTCTGTGGTCACGATGAGACCTACCTTACTTTTGGCGGGCAGAAACGCATTTCATGCCGCACGGAAGGGCATCAACCACTGCTATGTGGCAATACCTCCCTACTCTCAAGGGTGCGTAGTTTATTTGCACGCGTACTGTTTCAGCGAGGGCCGTTGCAGTAAGACTTTTAGCGACACCCCACTCTGCCGGGCAGGTTGAAACAAATAAACGATGAAAGATCCAGGTTTCGCGGAGGGATCGAGGGGAATGGGATGGAAGGGACCTCCGGCGCGACACGGTCCAAGACGGGTTTCCGCATTTTGCGATCGCGATTGCCAGCAGCTTACTCATGCACTGCTTCATAAGCTCCCCCAGTCGACCTTGTTTGTTGAACGATTCTTGAGTTTCCTTAGCATCCCTTTTCAGCATCGTCTTGCTCGTTTGCTCCACTACTAGTAGTACTACCACCGCCAAGCGAACGATAGAGCCGCGCAGCGCGCGGAGCAGAGCAGAGCAGCGCAGCGAAGCACAGCAGATCAACTCACACCAGAGAAGAGTAGAGCAGCGTTAATGCCGTCGGTCCTTCAGTCGTGCGCACGCCGTCTCGTAGTTCTGCCAAACTCACCCACGGCGCTTCTTCTCTCCTCTCCGTTCTCTCGCCAACTTTCCTCTTTTCCTGGCAGCAACCACTCTATTACTCAATACACTGCATCCGCGATAGAAGCGCGCAGCCTTCCGAAACACGGTTCGGTAGCAGCACATCTGAAACAAGCCTCCAGTCTGACCGTCAACCGCTCTCTATCAGCCACAGCCAGAATCATGCCGCCCGCCGCGACTGCCGCCGCGGCCTCCGCCGGAGCAAGCGCTCCGCCTTCCGCGGCGGCTGTTCCGTTCCGCCAGCATGTGACGGCGGACGGCTCCAGCGGCTTCCCCGCGGAAAGCGGAAGGTACGGCAGAAGGCGTTGCTAGTAGGTGTGAAGGCGTTGCTTCCCGTCTCACCACCTTTCCCCTGTTCCCTCTTCTTTCCCCACTACCCCCCCCCCTCTCCCCCCTTCTTCCCCTTTCTCCCCCCCTATCCCCCTCTCCCCCCTTCTCCCCCTTTTTCCCCCGTCTCCCCCTCTCTCCCCTTCAACCCCCTTCTCCCCGCTTCTCCCCCAATCTCACCCTCTCCCCCGCTCCCCTCCCTCCGTCCCTCTTCTCGCCGTGAGCTACGGCTTCTCCTCACCCCCTTTCCCCTTTCTTCCCCAACCGCCCCCAGGTACCACCTGTACGTCAGCTACGCCTGCCCCTGGGCATGTCTGGTTGGCTTCTTATACTTAATCCCTCCCCTCTCCCCCCACCTCCCCCCACTCCCCAACCGCCCCCAGGTACCACCTGTACGTGAGCTACGCCTGCCCCTGGGCGTCGCGGTGCCTCATGGCGCTCAAGCTCAAAGGGCTCGACGACGCCATCTCCGTGACTGTACGTGAGGGTGACTATAGTGTGACTGTGGTGGTGTGACTGTAATCTTGTGTGATTGTACAGCACTGACTCAGAAGTGCCTCATGGCGCTCAAACTCAAGGGGCTTGACTCATGTCACTGTACACCCTCTTTCTCGCCATTGTGGATTCGAGAAACAGGGTGTACGTGGGGTGAGTGCATGCATGTTGTGATTGGGCGTGGGGTTGAATACCTCCCCCCCCCTTTGTGTGTGTGTGTGTGTGTGTGTTTCTTTTCTTTCTTTCTTTCTTTCTTTCTTTTGGTGATGAGGTGAGAGAGATGAGGTGAAACTGAACTTGGTGAACTGAAACGAAGAAAGGCACCTAAAGAAATGACTTATGCACAATAATGGAAAAGAATCGTGCTTCAGTTTTATTATACAGAGTACAACTTCCCCACCATGTCGTCCGTTTTTCCCCACTCCATCGCTGCTGACGTGGCAGGTGCTGAACCCAACGTGGGTGCGCACGCGCGAGGGGGAGGAGCATTTCGGATGGGCGTTTCCTTCCTCAGAGGGCGACGCGGAGGAGCCGGGGGCGCAACCTGATCCGATTTTCGGCGCTCGATTTGTCCGCGACATATACGAGAAAATAGATCCTTCATACAAGACCTTTTCTGTGCCGGTATGTACAGTACAAGATACATCGTATGTACAGTGTGTACACTTTGCCCGCGATATCTACAAGAAATTGGATCCTTTGTATAAAACGTTCTTGGTGCCGGTATGCACAGCAGATGAACACACACAAGCAGACTCGCGCCAAAATGAACAACGAAAGTGCAGAGATCATGCGAAAGCTCAACATGGAATTGAACGCTATAGCTGTCACTCCCCACGTGGACCTCTACAAACCTCCACTGAGCTCTATTACCCTCCCTTGTTTTTTTTTTTAGGCGCCTCAAAAATCCTCTGCAAACCTCGACTGAGTAACATGGCTCACGATATTTTTGAGACGTCTCAGAACTACACTTATGTCACGTGGCTCTGTTACCCTCCCTGGCTGTTTTTGAGGCGCCTCAAGAATCCGCTACAGACCTCCGCTGAGCTCTGTTACCCTCCCTGGCTTCTCAGAAATCTCAATAGTCCCTCCCTGTTCTTTCCCTTCTTTTCACTCCCCCCTCCAGATTCTGTTTGACAAGGAATCGGGCAGCATAGTGAGCAACGAGAGCGCAGAGATCATGAGAATGCTCAACTCCGAGTTCAACGCCGTCGCCGCCAACCCCCACGTGGACCTCTATCCTGCCACCATGCGGGGGGCCATCGATGGGGTGAACGAGTGGGTTGGGCCGGCAATCAACAGCGGCGTGTTCAAATGCGGCTTCGCTAAGGAGCAAGCGGCCTATGATGCGGTGAGAATGGGTTAGGAACGGTCCTGTGATTGATGAAAAGGGAAGGGGGGGGCTATCGTCGGGGTGAACGAGTGGGTCGGACCGGCGATCAACAGTGGCGTGTTCAAAAGCGGCTTCGCCAAGGAGCAAGCGGCCTATGATGCGGTGAGAATGGGTTAGGAACGGTCCTGTGATTGATGAAAAGGGAAGGGGGGGGCTATCGTCGGGGTGAACGAGTGGGTCGGACCGGCGATCAACAGTGGCGTGTTCAAAAGCGGCTTCGCCAAGGAGCAAGCGGCCTATGATGCGGTGAGAATGGGTTAGGAACGGTCCTGTGATTGATGAAAAGGGAAGGGGGGGGCTATCGTCGGGGTGAACGAGTGGGTCGGACCGGCGATCAACAGTGGCGTGTTCAAAAGCGGCTTCGCCAAGGAGCAAGCGGCCTATGATGCGGTGAGAATGGGTTAGGAACGGTCCTGTGATTGATGAAAAGGGAAGGGGGGGGCTATCGTCGGGGTGAACGAGTGGGTCGGACCGGCGATCAACAGTGGCGTGTTCAAAAGCGGCTTCGCTAAGGAGCAAGCGGCCTATGATGCGGTGAGACTGGGTGCACTTTTGAATCGACTCAAAAGCCAACAAGCCGCTTATGATGCGGTGAGAATGGGTGCACTGAGCCAGTGAAAGGGACCTGTGAGACTCCTCATTACTCGTCTCACTTCCCTCATCTCTCCTCCCCTTCTCCCCCATTCCAGGCCATAAAAACACTCTTCTCAGCCCTGGATCGCTGTGAAGAAATATTGTCTTGCCAGCGCTACATGGCAGGAGACGCCTTCACAGAGGCTCACACAAGTGCCTCCCCTCTCCCCGCCTCTCCTTCTCCTCCATTCCAGGCCATAGCAACACTCTTCGCAGCCTTGGATCGCTGTGAGGACATTCTTTCAAAGCAGCGCTACATGGCAGGAGACGCCTTCACAGAGGCAGACATCCGGCTGTTTGTGGATCTGATTCGATTTGATGAGGTAAGATCTTGGTTTTGATTCCTTCACACCTCACGCTGCTTCCTCCGTTCCATAGGCTGCTTCTTCCATTCCCACTGCTGCTTGTTTTTCTTACCTGGGTGTGTCTGCCTTGTGTTGCATGTTACCCAATCTCCCAGGTGTATTATGGCCACTTCAACTGTAATAAGAGGATGATTCAGGAGTACCCCAATCTTTTCAACTACACCAAGGAAATCTTCCAGCTGCCCGGGATCGCCAGCACAGTGAACATGGTCCACATCCGCAGAAAGTTTTTCTGCAGCCCGAACGCCCTGAATCCTTTTGCCATCTGCCCGATCGGCCGGAACATCGATTATTCTGAGGCACATAACCGGGATAAGTTGTCATCTGAGCCGCTCGTGCTGGGTACAACAAAAAACGGGCTTTAATTGCCTGGATCCTTGTGTTTGTGTGGTCGTGTGTTTCCAAATGATGCAATGCTTATGTTTGCGTCTGTACTGCACTGTGTTGGAAACAAGTAATTTAGGCGCCTCTGTCGTGTCGAAACGCTAAGTCGTAAACGAAGCAAAACACAGCGAGCGAAGCATCGGCGAGTCAACCCTCGGAGGTTGAGCAACTGCTGGAGGTTACGCGATAGTCAAAGGTCAGCGGCCTTTGACCTGACAAGTACAGTGCGACAGTAAGGACAAACAATTGACTCGTTATTGAGCAGTTGCACGAGTCGCCACTTTATCGAACCGCAACAGCAACAACAAAACAGTTGTTAGCTATAACCCTTCATATTCCCTTGTACTCTTATAAAAGTCTGTATCTCTTTACTTTAATCAATCCACTTTGCCCTCACATACCAGCGCAAGGTGGTTCACAGACTTACCGTCAGCCCCCGGATAGAAGCGCCCCTGGGGGTATAAAAAACACTGTTTTTTAGGGGGTGCGCTTATAATTGAGGAATTTTATAAGCGCCGGCGCTTATAAAATGGCAAAAAGAATATATATTTGTTTTACACCAAGCTGTATATCTCGTTCTGCCGATTGTAATCGAGTCGAAAACATATAGGGTCGCGAATCTGATTCTCGCGCAGCTTGGCAGGGGAAGACGTTGCCGGAAACCCTCCGCGAAACCGCGTTCGCCCCTGCGGGCTTTCCTCGGAGAGATTTTGGTTTTCCCGCAGTCGCCTAGCGGGGCACGCGAGGGGCGGGAGCCAGCCACCCCGCCCGCCCGAAACGAGCCCCGCCAGCTCGGAGTGACGCGAGGTGGTCCCCGCTCGAGCTGGCGTGGACCCCACGTGCTCCCCCCCCTGGCCCCCTTCTCCCGTCGAGGAAATCCGTCTGCGTCGACGGATTCCGTCTGGACGCGACGGAAAGTGAAACGGAACACGCAAGGGCTGAAACGCACCATTGCGTAATTCAGTTCAGAGCACAGCAACCGCAGAAATAAAAACGTGTATGAAAAAATGGGAACTTAAACAGCAATAGGCAGACTCGATGGGAAATTGGGCCTGTAAAATTGGGCCAAGGCATCAATAAAATAAAATAGCCGTCGCTATCACAATTGGACTATGCTCCCGTCGCATGCGCATTGTCCGTCTGAAAAATCGCAACGTTAAGGATGATTCAGTCACATGGCAGCTGTACTACTGCCTTGTTATAGCAATCGTCTCAATCGACGAACCGGTTCTCTATATACCAAAACGTCCTACTACCCTATGAACATCATGTTCTGCATAAATAGAATCTACAACAGCATAAACGAAGAGGCTTAAAAAACGGGCTGCAGTCGAAGACGGTTCTACAACGATAAGAATCCCTCACGTCAACGTTGTTAACGGCCATGCAGAGAGTCACTCTATAACAGTGGGGGCTGAACTTTGGTGATATCAGCGATCGTAGCTTTGCTTGTGTTCGTACAACTTGCTTGTTTATAGAGCAATCTGGCAAAATGATTAGGAATTACAATCGCAAAGTGACTACATCTGTCTGTTGACGTTATCGTCCGGTTCCCGTCGAGCATGACTCATGCCCGAGCACAGCTCTTGTCGGCCAGCAAGGAGCAACTCGACTACCAACCCGTCGTGCTCTCTTATTCGACGCCGAGTTCGGCTTCGTTCAAGCGGGGGCAGGGCCTGTCTATTCAACAGCATTGATACAAGGAACGAGGTGTTCTCGAAGATGGTACGACGATGAATGATTGACGTGACAATGTTTTTATATCCACAACGTCTCGCATTTCGATCGAATAAGATAATGCTGGCGAATTGTACTACGTCAATAACATTGTTTCTGTCGACTGTCCACGTTCACGACGAGCATTAACGTATATTAAATCTCCAACATTGTTGATTATGTATTTGGTTGTGAGTCCGGTTGCTACAAAGAAAAAAAGAAACGGAGTGCTGGCGACGGTGGATAGGTTTGGTCGAGTGAAAGAAATTACTCGACAGTTTTGCTCTTTTTGTCGCATTCTTTTGCTTTGACGGACAGGGATATGGCGCTCCTCGACGATTTTAGTGTCGAAACCGAATGCTGACTTACCAAAATTGAGAAACGGTAGTTTCTGTCGCTAATTTCATTTATCGCTCGACGTTCAGGGTAAACCACAGTTGGTATTGTCGATTCCAATATCTCTGTTCGACAGGGAGTACTGCAGTACTCCCTCGACAAAAAGGTGAAAAATGTAAGGGCAATTATATTTCTTTTGGCCTGTCGAGCTGACATTACACCTGGCCCCGCTTAAACAATGAAGTGGTAGTTTTTTTTCTAGCAAGACAGAGTTCAAACACGGATTAACGAAACTCTTAGCCATATCAACAAAGTCTTGTTCATCATGTTGATACCTAACAACCATAGCTGCTGCAGTCACAGGTATGAGGAAAAGTTTAAAAGCAGAAAGAGAGAGGTTTGCACTAGCAGCAGTTGAGATACATATAGGAAACCCTAATTGGGTTGTACTCGCTATGCAGTACCCCACTGCAGGCTAGACAATTACATCATTCTGACACACCCCCATAGCCAAAGTGGGGTGTAATCAACACAACAAGCAGTCATAAAATAGTTCACAAGCCCAAGTAAAGCTAGAGGTAGTCACAGAGGGCATGTGAGGAGGAGGAGGGACTGTGAGAGGAGAGGAGATGGGAGGCGACGGTGGAAGCTGCAGACACACAGGAGCTACTGGCTCAGTGGCTACCGAAGCAATGGCCCGGACTACAGGAGTAACTGGCTCCGCGGAGATTGTAGCCTCCTGACTGGAGCAACTGACCCACAGGCGACTGGCGACTACCGGAGATTGTAGCCTCCGGACTGCTGGTGCTGCTGGCGACACGACTGCGACCTCCGCTCAACCTCCGCCAACTGCCCCACGCCCCTAGCACACACCCCCTGCTGCACCCCTAGCTCCACTCCCACGTCACCCCCCTAGCACCACTCCTTCGGCTCCCACACACCCACCCCCCTGAGCGGCAGCTGCAGCAGCGGGAGACGGAGGAGGAGGAGGAGCAGGGGACCGCGCACACCCGCCACCCCCATACCCGTCACCCCCATACCCTGAGTATGCGGTAAGTGAGCTCAGGTGTGCGCGAAGCGTGCACAAGTGTGCGGGAAGCGAACTCGAGTGTGCGGTAAGCAAACGCAGGTGTGCGGGGAGGGGGGGCCGCAGGGCGACACGCGGGTCGACGGGGATGGGCGCACGGGTCGCCGGGGGCGGCGCGCGGGTCGACGGGGCCGCCGCGAAGGGCGACGGGGAGCCGCGCGCGGGTCGACGGGGCCGCCGCGAAGGGCGACGGGGAGACGCGCGCAGGTCGACGGGGACGGGCGCGCGGGTCGACGGAACGCGAAACCGCCGCGTGCGCCCAGGGTGCGCGGTGGGCAGGAAACCGCCACGCGTTCCGAGCGCATGGCGGGCAGAAAACCGCCGCGCGAAGCAGGAAACCGCACGCCCCGAGCGCACGGCGGGATGAAAAACGCCGCGCGCTCCGAGTGCGCGGCAGGAAGAAAGGGTCGCGCGCCCGGGGCGCGCGACAACAATAGAGCAGCGGAAGCATCGGGTGGGGCCTGTCAGAATCCCAACCACTAGACCATTGGGATAAAAGGGCTTGTTTAAGTAGCGGGTCAGTGCGCCCATAACCCCCTAGGCCAACGTGCCTGTAACCCTTCCCTAGGATCAATCGGGGATCACCAGTGGACCTCTAACACCCCCCCGCACTGGGATGCCCGAAGTGCATACACCGGGATTCGAACCCGAGACCTTCGCTCTGATACCATGTCAGAATCCCAACCACTAGACCATTGGGATAAAAGGGCTTGTTTAAGTAGCGGGTCAGTGCGCCCATAACCCCCCAGGCCAACGTGCCTGTAACCCTTCCCTAGGATCAATCGGGGATCACCAGTGGACCTCTAACAGGGCCCACCCACAGGATCGACCCAGGAGGGTCGACCTGCTCTGATAGCATGTCACAGGTATGAGGAAAAGTTTAGAAGCAGAAAGAGAGAGGTTTGCACTAGCAGCAGTTGAGATACATATAGGAAACCCTAATTGGGTTGTACTCGCTATGCAGTACCCCACTGCAGACTAGACAATTACATCATTCTGACAGCTGCGATAATATTAAGTCTTGTCGAAGGCGAGGCAACCCTTTATATGACAGATATAGCTCCGTTGAAGACAAGAAAACCACGAAAGAATATGAGGAGCTCTGTCGAATATACAATTTAGCTCGGTCAACAAAAAGCGGGGATTTGATATACTCTTCTTGTCGAAAAGAATGAGTTGAACAGACAATGAACGCATTTAAAATGAATTATACTAGCTTAAATTGGCATGTTAATTGAGTTGAAAAATAATTTATAGAGGTTACCTTCATTTTTCGACTAATGTTCAATATCGAGTCGATTGTTGTTGATTTTTTTGTCGACAGCGCACGTAACTGCTCGTCGATTGGTCATCGCCTGTCGAGAGCATTTCAATTTCCACTGTGACGGCTGACATATATATATGCGCAACAATAACATTGCTTGTGTCGATTGTCCATGTTCACGACACGTATTAACGTATAGGAAAACTCGAGCATTGTTAATTAGTTATGTGACTGTGAGTCTCGTTGCTACAAAGAGAAGTGAAACGGGGTGCTGGCGGCGAAAGATATGCTTGGTTGAGTAAAATAATTGTCTCGACTGTTTTGCTCCGTCTGTCGAAATCTTTCGTTTTGACCAATGGTATATCGAGTTGTCTCCCGTCGAGCTCCATCAATTTCCACTGTTACGGCTGACATATATATGGTCATAAGAATACGACATTGAACCCGCGGGTTTCGGAGGGTTTTTTGGCCTGGTCAGCCGGGAATTTCTCGGGGCCCGGAGGGATTCCGCGGGTTTTTCGTTTTGCCTCAATTCCCTTTTTGCCTGGGCGGGCGGGGCAGCATGTGATGACGTCACCCGTGTGTATAATTGGAGTGATTCCCTGCCAGCTCACACTGACAAAATTACAGCACATGCTGACTAGACGCGCAAAAAGTGAGTTCAGAGTGTGGGAAATCGAAATTGTACCGTAGTTCGTTTCCCTGATAATTTGAAATTCGTTTCTGAAATTTGAAAGGTTTTCAAATGAAAAACAAACATGCGCTTATAATATATCATCTTCTTCTAGGGGGTGCGCTTATAATCGAGGACCGGATATAAGCGCCCTCATCTTTTTATAAGCGCCGGCGCTTATCCGAGGCCTGCGCTTCTATCCGGGGGCTTACGGTATCATTAAACGCTTCCGCTATTACATTGTTCCTACTCAGAGTTTAGTCCTGCAAGCATCCGAAGGGCTTTTCTCTGCCCAACATACTGTAGTATGTACGAAATGGAGACATTTTAGTGCACAGCTGAAGCACCAATAAACTTCAACACACCACAGGTACCGTAGCTTGCCCTGCCACGTATTGGACCAGCTAGCATTCTGAGTCCACTGTACAAAACCGCCTCATAAGACTGGCTAACATTTCTCATCCAATCAACCCCCCGGATACATCAAGACCTAACCGCGGAGAATAGGTGATACTACCATACGTGCCGCCCGTAGTGTGTCTGATACTGATGATACTGACTGACTGATAGAAGATGGTACATACAGTACAGACCAACCAACCAGGCCCCCAGCACCCAGCTTTCTGAACTTATTATTGTACGAATCTCCTATATCAAACGTACCGTACTACTGTAGCAATGCAACTAGGTAGTCCCATTCCATTACTCATCCCATTCTATATCCTCATCATCCTCACCCTCAGCCTCTCCTACCCCCACCGGCTCCGGGGTAACCGCAACACCAGCCCCATCCCCTGTTCCACCCGCACTCCCTGCCCCTCCACTCACCCCTCCCCCACTCCCGTCCCCACGAACCTCCCCCCCGCTCCCTCCCACCCCACCATCCACCCCATCCCCATCCTCCCACTCATAATCCGCCTCCTCGTCCTCCTCCTGAATTGCTGCTGCTATAGGCGTAGTTGGCAGTGCTTGACTCGTGTTGAAAGGGAGAGCAGTAGTAGGAGCAGGAGGGGTGGCATATGCTCCTGCGTCCCCCTCTTCCCATGTCACATCCTCCTCCTCATCTCCCTCCGCTGCCGCTGCTGCTGCAGCATCGACAGGAGCGACATCAGTAGTAGCTGCGGCTGTGGCAGTGTCGGTAGCAGCAGCAGTAGGGGCAGCGGTGTCCACTCCGCCTGCTGCTGCCGCTGCCTGTTGCTGTTGCAGCAATGCGGCATAGTAAGCCTTGTAATATTCCTGGTGATACAGGAAGGGGGAACAGAGGGGAGGAACAGTGTCAATAGCAGCAGCAGTAGGGGCAGCGGTGTCCACTCCGCCTGCTGCTGCTGCAGCAATGCGGCATAATATGCCTTGTAGTATTCCTGGTGATATGAGGGTGGGGGAACAGGGGGGAGGAACAGGTTGAAGCTGGGGAAGAGGATCTGAGGGATACACCTGTAGTTGTTGCAGCAATGCTGCATAGTAAGCCTTGTAATATTCCTGGTGATATGAGGGTGGGGGAACAGGGGGGAGGGATACCCTAGTTGCTGCAGTGGCAAAGCTGCATAGTAAGCCTTGCATTGTACTGTACATAGTAAAAAAAAGTGTTGTGAAAGTTTTCTGTTTGCAGTGTGAGGATATTCAGGAGATTTGGACAGGCGCAAAAGCAATGTACAATCGCCTTCCTGACTTGGAAAAGCAGTCACATATCCAAAAAAACCGAAACAAGAACTTGGATTGGACCCCCCCCCCCCCCTCTTTTCTACTTTGTGTGTCCAAGTAGGTGCTCTGGTTATTTGGTGGTTGTGGTTCGTGTCTGCTTTCCTAATCAGGGAAGTGATTGTGCCTTTCCTCCGCTTCTGTTCAAACCTCAATGAGTCATATTGGACCGAACACTCCCGGACATCTTCATATTGCAAAGAAAAACTTTCAAAACGTTTTTCTCGAAAGTCATATGGAGTGTTGAAACAACAAGGAAACAAAAACGACAGGTTTACCAGTCTATTGACCAGACCGGGTTGATTAGCTCTGGTATATAGAAGAGTTGCAAGTTCTAAATACATGAATCACATGTACACATAGATGAATAATTATATATATTTATCATATGTATACCAAGCTCACCTGTAGTCTCTGCTGCTCTGCCTCTTCCTCTGCCGACATTCCCCCCGCCGCACCCTCCCCCGCTCCCCCATCCCCTTCCCCCGCTCCCCCCTCCCCGCCCTCCCCGTCGCCCCCCGGTTTCTCCTCCTCCACCTCCCCCCTCTGCGCAGCTGTCAGCACCATACCCTCCCGTATGGCCCACTTCGGAATAACCTTCATTTCTGCCGGTTTTGTCAACGCTCCTTCTCCTCCTCCTCCCCCTCCTCCTCCTCCTCCTCCTCCTCCTCCCCCACCACCAGCAGCACCCACGTCCTCCCCTCCAATCGAAACCTCCACCTGTTTAGGGTTTGGGGAGCGAGGGGTGGGTGGGGCATGGGTAAAAAAAGGTTGTAGATGTGTTGCAAGCCCCATCCCCTTGCTGCACAGCTGTCAGCACCATGCCCTCTCGTATGGCCCACTTGGGAATGACCTTCATTTCTGCCGGTTTGGTCAACGCCCCTTCTCCTCCTCCCCCTCCTCCTCCTGCCGACCCTCCTGCTCCACCATCCACATCCTCCCCTCCAATCGAAACCTCCACCTGTGTTTGGGGGAGCATGCATGGGGTGGGTGGGGCATGGGGGACGGGGGTAGTAGAGATTCAATGAAATGATCCAGTCAGTACCATGTACTCTTGGATGGCCCACATAGAAACAAATTTCACCTCTACTGGCTTGGTCAGGTCAGGCGCCCCTTCCCCTCCCACTACGGCTGCCCTCAATGCTGACAACGCCTTGGAAGGGTAAAGGCTTGAAATCCCACTCAACCAATCGCACCTGTAACCCTTCCCAGGGGGACAAGAGCCTTGGGAGTCTCCCCTCTGTGTGGGCGGTGCATTGGGCTCGCACTCAGACAAGTGACACCTACCTGTGGTCTCGCCCATGAAGGGAAGAGGAGTCGACCCACCCAGCACCCCCTCCCCCCGGCCCTGCAAGACAGAGAGCCTTGGGAATCTCCCCTCTGTGTGGGCGGTGCATTGAACTCTCACCTCGACAAGGTGACACCTACCCGTGATCTCGCCCATGAAAGGAAGCAGAGTCGACCCATGAAGGGCAGGGGGGTCGACCCGGCACCTCCTCCCCCTGGCCCCGCCAGCCGGGGGAGAGCCTTGGGGATCTCCCCCCGACTGCGGCTGCCCTCTGTGCTGGCGACGCCTTGCAGGCTTGCTTGTGCTGCCTTGGGAACTCCCCACCCTTCTGACAAGTAAAACGTACCCGTGTCTCCCCCATGAAGGGAAGCGGAGTGGAACCGGCGCCCCCTCCCCCCGGCCCAGTTTTGAGGCGCCTCAAAACTAGACTTGTGCTGCCTTGGGAACTCCCCACCCTTCTGACAAGTAAAACGTACCCGTGTCTCGCCCATGAAAGGAAGAGGAGTGGAACCGGCGCCCCCTCCCCCCGGCCCCGCCAGACAGGGGAGAGCCTTGGGGATCTCCCCTCTGTGTGGGCGGTGCATTGAACTCTCACCTCGACAAGGTGACACGTACCCGTGTTTCCCCCATGAAAGGAAGAGGAGTTGAACCGGCGCCCCCTCCCCCCGGCCCCGCCAGACAGGGGAGAGCCTTGGGGATCTCCCCTCTGTGTGGGCGGTGCATTGAACTCTCACCTCGACAAGGTGACACGTACCCGTGTTTCCCCCATGAAAGGAAGAGGAGTTGAACCGGCGCCCCCTCCCCCCGGCCCTGCCAGCCGGGGGAGAGCCTTGGGAATCTCCCCCCCCACTGTGGCTGCCCTCTGTGCGGGCGACGCCTTGGCCTCCCATTCGGATAGAGACCCGAAGTAGGGCGGCGTGATGTCCTTCACCTTCACTATCTGCTCCATCAGGGGTTTCAGTTGGCGCTGGGAGAGGGGAGAAGAGGGAGGGGAAGGAGAGGAGGCAGGGCAAGGGGGATGGGAACAGGGGTGGCGACGCCTTGGCCTCCCACTCGGATAGAGACCCCAAGTAGGGCGGCGTGAGGTCCTTCACTTTCACTATCTGCTCCATCAGGGGTTTCAGTTGGCGCTGGGGAACGGAAGGGCAGGGCGATGGGAAAGGGCAGGGCAGGGAAGGGGAGCGCAGGGCAGGGAAGGGCAGGGCGATGGGACAGTGAGGGTAGGGAAAACCTGATGAGCCTTGGGTTCCCACTCAGATAGAGAGCTAAAGTAAGGGGGCGTGAGGTCCTTCACTTTCACTATCTTCTCGATTGGAGTTTTCAGCTGGCGCTGGAGGTGGGGGTGGGTGGAGGGGCAAGGCATGGCAGGGCAAATGGATGGATGGATGGATGGATGGATGGATGGATGGATGGATGGATGGATGGATGGATGGATGGATGGATGGATGGATGGTGAGAGTGGAGCGAAACAGAAGTAGGGCGGTGTGAGGTCCTTCACCCTCGCTATCCACGTGTATGAAGATTTGTTTTGAGGCGTCTCAAAACAAATCTTCATACAAGTAGGGCGGTGTGAGGTCGACAGCTACTTTCGAGAGTGACTGTGAATTGAACCCACACACACATTTAAACACCCTCCACTCACCTCGAACACCCTCCACTCACCTCGAACCTCGCCAGCATGTTTTGAAGAGCCTCTTTGTTCCTCTTCCTTGTGTTATCCTCCCCATCCCCCTCTTCCTCTCCCCTGCACCCATCTCCACACCCCTTTGTTCTGCCTACCTTCACGACCACACATCCACTCACCTCGAATCTCGCCAGCATGTTTTGAAGAGCCTCTTTCTTCTTCTTCCGCGTGTTATCCTCCCCATCCACCCCTCCGCCTCCGCCTCCCCCTCCCAGCATGTCAGATTCCGCCTCCAGCTCTGAGTGGCAGCGCTCGCACTTGAGATTGAAGTCCACTGGATCGATCAGTCTGTCAGTGTCAAGTGTGGAGTACCTGTGGACGGAGAGGCAGGGAACAGACGGACAGGCACACAGGGTCAACCCTCCCAGCATGTCTGACTCGGCCTCCAGCTCTGAGTGGCAGCGCTCGCACTTGAGATTGAAGTCCACGGGATAAATGAGGTTGGCTGGGATGTGGGTGTACATCCAACCAAACACAAAGTGCAAACTACACAAAGTGCAAACTACACTAAGCTAGGTTATAAAAAGTACAAGTACAAAATGTGAGATTGAGGGCTAACACTAACACCCCACCCACCTGGCCCACAGAAGGTTTGGGTTGGGGGTTGGGGCACAGAAGGTACATAACCTCCTTGCGACTGGCGAGCCCACAGTGGAGCAACAGCAATGGGGAGAGCAACGAAACACACCCCACCTGGCCTTGCAGTGCGGGTTGGGGCACAGCAGGTACATAACCTCCTTGCGACTATCCAATTCGTCCTTTATCGCCTTCTTCGCCCGGTGGATGCGGTACCTCACCACATCGTAGATCTGCCACATTGGGAGGCAAGCGGCGTGCCAGTGGCATGCGGGAGGAAAGCAAGAGGAGGGAGGTCAATGTGCCTGTCACAGCAGGTACATGACCTCCTTGCGACTATCCAGCTCGTCCTTTATTGCCTTCTTTGCCCGGTGGATGCGGTACCGCACAACGTCATAAATCTGTTGGGTTGGGTTGGGTTGAGAGGCAAGTGGCATGTGGGGAAGGTAAGAACAGGGGGGAGGCCAATCTGCCTGGCAGGTGCATAGCCTCCATGCCTGGCCAATCTGCCTCCTGGCAGGTGCATAGCCTCCATGCCTGGCCAATCTGCCTCCTGGCAGGTGCATAGCCTCCATGCCTGGCCAATCTGCCTCCTGGCAGGTGCATAGCCTCCATGCCTGGCCAATCTGCCTCCTGGCAGGTGCATAGCCTCCATGCCTGGCCAATCTGCCTCCTGGCAGGTGCATAGCCTCCATGCCTGGCCAATCTGCCTCCTGGCAGGTGCATAGCCTCCATGCCTGGCCAATCTGCCTCCTGGCAGGTGCATAGCCTCCATGCCTGGCCAATCTGCCTCCTGGCAGGTGCATAGCCTCCATGCCTGGCCAATCTGCCTCCTGGCAGGTGCATAGCCTCCATGCCTGGCCAATCTGCCTCCTGGCAGGTGCATAGCCTCCATGCCTGGCCAATCTGCCTCCTGGCAGGTGCATAGCCTCCATGCCTGGCCAATCTGCCTCCTGGCAGGTGCATAGCCTCCTGGCAGGTGCTTGGTCCGTTCTTGACTGCTGTCTGTCTTTGCCTGATGATGAATCCGTCACCTTTGCAAACACTCAGAATGCCTATTATATTACGCAAGTGGAGAATCATGTACGTAAGAACGGTTGTTGCAATACGCACCTGGGGGTAGTGCAGGCAGCAGTAGGAGTGGGAGTGCTGCTTCGGCTTTTGCCCTGGCTTGCCTTCCCACTTCGACCCCTCGCCTTCCCCCTCCCCTTCCTTCCCCTCCTCCCCCTCCCCCTTCAGTTTCTTGGCTGCTCTCGTGTTCTGCATAGGAAGACGACGTTGGGGTGTTGGGTAAACGTTGAGGGAGAGGAGAAGAGGAAAGATATATCGAAACGGACGCACACAGCAAGGTTTTGAGGCGCCTAAACTTTTAATATGTGTCAAAACGCGTTGAGGGAGAGGAGAAGAGGAAAGATATATAGAAACGGACACACACAGCAAGCTGCTACGCTCCACTCTCTCCTGCCTCTCTATGTCTTGTCCAATCTACTGCTCTGCATAGCACAGCACTTCACTCACCACCACACCACACCACACCACACCACACCGCACCACACCGCACCGTAACACATGCGTACTCCTCCGTTAACGCACTCCACCACTCTCACCTCCTTCCTGTGCTCGCGCACGATCATCAGCTCCTCCTCCAGACTCTTCAGCGTCCGCCTCAGCTGCTTCAACTAATTACCGACACACCACACCACACTACTACACCACACCACACCGCACCAACACATGCAAACTCCCCCGTTAACGCAGTCCACCGCTCTCACCTCCTTCCTGTGCTCGCGCACGATCATCAACTCCTCCTCCCATCTCTTCAGCGTCCGCCTCAGCTGCTTCAAGTGGTTACCATTCACTGCACCACACCGCACCACCGTATCACACAGAAACTCCACCACACCCCACCAAACCGCACCGCACCACACCCCACCGCACTCACCTCCTTCCTGTGCTCGCGCACGATCAACAATTCCTCCTCCAGCATCTTCAGTGTTCGCCTCAGCTGCTTCGGGTGCAGATGCAGCTGCCGTGCCAGCTCCTCCTCTCGCATCCACTGCCGCCTGATGGTGTAGGGGGAAGAAAAGGGGGGTTAAGGCACAGAGCGACGGAGCAGAGACGTGTTGCCGCATGAGTGACTCAGATGCAGCTGCCTTGCCAACTCCTCCTCTCGCATCCACTGCCGCCTGATGGTGTAGGGGGAAGAAAAGGGGGGTTAAGGCACAGAGCGACGGAGCAGAGACGTGTTGCCGCATGAGTGACTCAGATGCAGCTGCCGTGCCAACTCCTCCTCTCGCATCCACTGCCGCCTGATGGTGTAGGGGGAAGAAAAGGGGGGTTAAGGCACAGAGCGACGGAGCAGAGACGTGTTGCCGCATGAGTGACTCAGATGCAGCTGCCTTGCCAACTCCTCCTCTCGCATCCACTGCCGCCTGGTTGGTGATAAACAAAAAGGCAAGGAAACAGGGGACAAGGAAACATTGCCATATGAGCAACTCAGCTGCTTCGGGTGCAGATGCGGCTGCCTTGCTAGCTCCTCCTCTCGCATCCACTGTCTTCTGAGACGTCTCAAAACTTGCTAGCTCCTCCTCTTGCATCTACTGCCGCCTGCCTGATTCGGAAGGGAGGCCAGAGGTTCTTGAAGGGAGGTCGAGGGGACAGGCCAGGGGTTCTTGAAGCAATGACGATCTACCCACATCATCTCCTAAGCCAGAAAAGAAATGAAGACAAAAGGAAACAAACAACTGTACCTTGTAAGCGCATCGAGGACGACTATAGTGAGTCCCTTGGTCTCCCCTCCACATATCCGCTCTGCCTTGCGACTGGCGCCCTTGTCCTTCTCCTTTTCTTTCTCCTTCTCCTTCTCCTTATCTTTATCTTTGTCTTTCTCATCTGTCACATCGTCGTCGTAAAATGCACGAGCCACTAGCTTCACCAGTCTGCAGGAGAAGAGCGCGGGCAGACACAAACAAACAGAATTGGAAAGATTTCACGAGCCACTACCTTCACCAACCCGCAAGGGTAGAGCACGGGCAAAAAATGAAAGTGCAAGGAAGGAGAATTTGGTTGCATCACTATCCACTGGTCCCTTCAGCCTGAACTTGCATCACTTCTAAAAATTTCTGAAAACTCTCAACAGGATGAGGAGTAATTGGTGCAAGAAAGCAGGCACAAATGCTGGTCTATCTGCACAAGCCATTGCGCTGTTGCCGAGAAGCCAACAGCAGCGGTTATGCTTGTGACAATAGCAGAGCACTGCAGAGGGGACACGAGCGCGCACGCACCGACGGAAAGGCTCAACGCTGCTCATGGCGCTTCACACGCGATGGGTTGACGTGACGATTGTCAGAACCTAACGCTGCTCATAGTGCTGCTTACACGACGACCTAAACATGCAAATATAGTTGCGTTGAGAACTCTCAGAAACTAACCGAGCTCATGGCGGGTTCGCACGCGAAGGCCTAATCGGGAATTCTCAGAAATCAACAAAGCTTATGGGGCTGCTGCTGCTGTTCATGGCCAGTAGGCAATCAGTATAGGATTCTAAAAACTCGTTGAGCTCATGACGATGCTCATGGCTGTTACGGGTCGGCTGCTTGCGCATCCTCCACGTCGGAATCGGCCACGTGTGCTACTCCCCTTGAGCTCCTAGCGCCTTGAGCTAGATACGGCGGCTTCAATGCTCTCACAATCAGGTGCGGAGATAGAGCGATTATATCGAGAGGATATTAGTCTACTCGTAGCTTGCAGCCTAGGTTCTCCGAAGTGCCTGGTTTCAGGGAGGTGAGAGGGAGAGCGAGCGCAACCTTGGGAATTGCTTGTACAGTATAACTTTGGCGGCCACTCGCCTTGCCTCTTTGCTCCTCTTCATAAAGAGGTTGGCTTTTGTGTAAAACCTAACTAAAACCTGCTAGCGCGTATGAGCGTATTACCGACATTTTAGTGTTCGATTCTGAGATTGATGCGCTGATATATTGAGAATGATCCAAGGTGAAATAATAAAATGGAAATCGTTCTGAAGGATGTGATTCTACGTGTTCAAAACGCTCATAGATATTAGCAAGGTTACCTATACACACTTATTCGACTTTAGTCGAGCTCAGAGCACTAACGCATTTCACTGCAAACCGTAAAGTTCCGTCTGACACCTCCTTCGGTCTCTTCAGCCACCTTCTTCCCGCGTTTTTCAGAAACTTTTGAATTCTCGCACTTCAGCATTCCCAAGGTGGATGGTTCATTCGACTTCTCCGGATTGCACCGCAAGAAAGCCTCGGGATTAGGACAAAGCATGGGAGATTCCGTCAAATGCCTGACACTGAAAGAAAGAGCCGATAACTATTGACTAAACGCTAGGCGTATTCCGGGGTTCCCAAGACTGATACGTAGTACCCAACGTCCTATCTGCCTTCCATCCTCCGTAAATCTGTCAGATCCTCTTCTATAAGATGATTTCCAGCTTCACTGCTTTCACCACCACCTTCATCGTGACAGTGTTTCCTAAGACGTGCCTGCGATTCTGATGTTTTTCGTAAGCGCCTACGCCATAACATAAGCTCTCTTAGTAGCTCCTAACACTTTCTCAATTCTTTTTCCCAGATGTCGTGTACTACTCCATCGGTCACTTTCCTACAGATATAGTAGCTCTCGCGTGCTGAGCCTTGTCTTTAAACCCGGCATAGCCTGATTCGGTCGGTCAGTTCAACACTAAGAAAATTCATCTAAGACTAGGACCCCGTACACTCCGGCCTTTTCCTTTAGACTACGGCCCTTTCGTTTAAGTTGGAAATCCGACTCCTTGAAGTATCGTTGTCCCTTGAAATGGACGTAGCAGAGGTGTTACCTCACTCCGGCGCCTGCGGCCTGTCTCCTGACGGCCGGTGCCTCGCCGTCGCGCAGGGGAGGAAGTTGCACCTTCGGGCGGTGCCGTCGCTCGAGGCAAGTACTCTGTTTTCTGTCACCATCCCATGCTTGTCTCTACGTCTGGCTGATAGTGACAATCTGAATCAGCAGTCTCAGATAGTCCTTGAGGTGCCTCAAGATTTTGGCCGGTTCTAATATCTGTAACAACAACTTGAACGAGTATTGAAGGCATCTGAAGAATCTGGCTGGTGCCGATAATCGCAGTTGCACTCATGAATAATCTAATTAGTCAGTGCCACTTCCGTCAAAAGAGATCGGATTGTTTGTTGGTCCTTCCGTTTCCCATCCAACTCACTCTTTCCTTGCCCCCCCCCTCCTCCACTCCGTGCCTGTCAATCTGTGATCTCTGTCCCCTGTATGCGTCCACTCACTAAAACTACAGGACCTCCGGACGTGCACCTGCACAGGGCCGATCTCAGCCGTTGAATGGGCTCCTGACTCCTCGATGGTGTTCGCAGCTTGCTACTCACAAGCTACAGTGCATGTAAGCTTCAGGGGATGTAAGCCACTGGGCGGTGAGCTACAATGCGCTTAAGCTACATTTTGTGTGCTGCAGTGCTTATAAGCTACAGCTAAAGTGCATACAAACAACTAGTCATGTAAACAACAGTGCACGTACGGACCATAAACAGCAGTAGGGGGCACGCTGGCCCTTAAGTTTCCGCTTATCGCATGTGAAAACTCATATTGATTGTCAAACCCTTTCTTTCAGGTGTGGGCTGTGGCTCTCCCTGATTGGTCCACCACAGTGCGCGAGGACGAGACAGCAGGCTTGCTGCACGCTGCATGGGCTCTGGACTCGAACCACAACCCCCGAATCTCCCACTATCGCATATTAAACCCCCTCATTTCAGGTGTGGGCCGTGGCTCTCCCTGACTGGTCCGCCACAGTGCACGAGGATGAGACAGCAGGCCTGGTGCACGCTGCATGGGCGCCAGACTCGACCCACCTGCTGCTCTCCGCCGACCACAGGCTGCGTGTGACTATATGGAACGTCACTTCCAGGTAACCGGGTTGTTGTGACTGCCAGGTGACTATATGGAATGTCACTAGCATGAGGACGAGACAGCAGGCCTGCTGCATGTCTCATGAGCTCCCAACCCCATCCACCTGCTGCTCTCCTCGGACCACAGGCTGCGTGTGACTATGTGGAATGTGACTTCGAGGTAACTATAGGGGATGTGACTTCCATGTGACTGCAGTGAATGGGAATGTCACTTTTACATGCGCGAGGACGAGACAGCAGGTATGTTGCAGGGCTCAATAAGTGTGACTAAAAATGCTTAACACGCCTGGAGTGTGACAAGCCTCGTTGGCCCCAAATTCCACGTACCTGCTGGAACGTGACTTCCAGGTGACAATATCGAATGTGTCATTTTCAGGTGATTCTATGGAGTGTGACTTCCAGATGAACGTATGGAATGTCACTCCTAAATGACTACACGTAAAGCCATTTCCAGGTCTATGTGGAACGTTAATTTCTGGCGATTTAACACAATGTGACTTCTGCGGGTCTGTATGGTAACACAATGTGCACATTCCCCAACCCAAGCACCTTGCACGACCTCGCCATTCTTCCATTGCCAAGTTCATTTTCTCTTCTCTCTCCCTTGCTAATCCACACAGCCACTCCCCTCCAGCGCACATCTCCCTGCCCAAGCACCCTGTCCGCAACCTTGCTTGGTCCCTTGATGATTCCTTCACTCCACTGCCTTATCATCCACTTGTTTCTTTGGTCTTTCCCTCCCTTCCTCCTTTCTCTCTTCTCCCTTCCTTTCCCCACCCCCTTCTTTCCCCACCCCACAGCCAGTCACCCCCTGTGCACATCCCCTGCCCAAGCACCCTGTGCGCGCCCTCTCCTCCTCCCCCAACCACCTCCTCCGTTCCATTGCCAATACATCCCCTCTGCTCCTTTTTCCCTTCTCCCTTCCTTTCCCCACCCCCTTCTTTCCCCACCCCACAGCCATTCACCCCCAGTGCACATCCCCCTGCCCAAGCACCCTATCCGCTCCCTTGCCTTCTCCCCCAATCACCTCCTCCTAGCAGGCCTCCACTCCCTCCCGTCAAATCAGAGCATGCCACCTGCCGCTGCCACCCCTGCTGTTGCTGGGGTTACAGAAATGGGTGCCGCTGCTGCTGCTGCTGCTGGTGCTGGTGCTGCTGGTGCTGGCAGTGCCAATGCTAGAAGAACGAGTGAGAGCTCTGCTGTGGGGTTGGGAGGGGTGCAAGGAGGTAGAACAGAGGCAAGAGGAGGAGCACGAAGAGCATCTGTTGTAGCAGGGGGGGGAGGCGGAGGGGGAGGAGGAGGGGGAGGGGGAGCAGCGGGGCAGAGTCGCGACGTGGTGAGCCTGTACGCCTGTGACATGAGGCAGGAGGTGGTTTGCTTCCGCACAGACACTGTGGACGCTGCTGACGTGGCATGGGCAGCTGAGGGCAGCGGGGTTATTGTCTGGGATCACCCAATGGAATTCAGGGTAAGTGAGCAACTTTTGGACAGAAGAAGTCGATTGGGTGCTGTTGATTGGCAGCGACATGATTTCAACTACAATTGAGAAAGTTTGCTTCTTGTAGCAATTGGCATCGTTCTCATTACAATGGGAACACGCTGCTGCGCCTAACAATGTCAGCGATGGCAGCGACTCCGAAGACGAAGCTGGTGAGGCACATGCACACACCAATTTTCTCGCACCCACCTAGCATCTTCCTCCACTCCCATCCACAAACCCCACTATCCCGGCTTCCTCGTTCCACCATGCCAACGTACGCGAGCAAAACGAGTTTTTTTTTTTGTTTTTGGAATGAGGAAGTCGGGATAGTGGTGTTGGTGGATGTGGTGGATGGGAGTGGAGGAAGATGCTCGGTGGGTACGAGAAAATTGGTGTGTGCATGTGCCTCACCAGCTTCGTCTTTGGAGTCGCTGCTGTCGTTGACATTGTTAGGCGCCGCAGTAGTAGTGTGTTCCCTTTTTACATGGGACTTCGAGCGCGGGGGCATGATACGTCAATTCGTTTTTTGCAGCACCCTTTTTAAGTGAGGTCCGAAAAAATCGGAAGGGATGACAAGGTGAAATGAACTTGAGCGATTGTGGGTGGAGGAAAAATGACTTCCAACCCACTTTTTATAGTCGGAGAAGTTGATTACCGCCCTTCTACAATGCCAAAAGATTGTGTTCCAATCCGCTCCGCTTTCACAATACGTATATTTGAAAGCGGTGAATGCCTTACTATTATTAGAGCCCCCTCCCCCTTCCCCTTTCCTCATCACCCCCACCAGCTGCTGCTCTTCTCCCCCTCTGGAGAGCCCCAAGCACGCGTAGAGCTGCTGTGCGATCCAGGGGTGTGGCGTCAGTCCCCTTGCGCAATCACTCTCAACACCTCCTCACACCCCCCCTTTCCCCCCCCCCCCAACCCTACCTTCTCTCCCCCACCAGTTGCTGCTCTTCTCCCCCTCTGGAGAGCCGCAAGCACGCATTGAGCTGCCCTGGCCAGGACTGGGCGTCAGGGCTGTTGCCCCGTCCCCTACCTTTTCACCTGGCGCTGCTTCTGGCTCCATTGCCCATTGCAACGCTAACAGCAGCAGCAGCAGCACAGGTGGCGGTTCAGGCGCCCTGTCAGGGGCTGCTTCAGGTGCTTCTTCAGGTGCTCTGGTGGCGGTGGGCTGTTCGGCCGACCGCCTGCTGCGAGTCTTCCGGGCGGCGGATGGGCGGCCTGTAGTGGAGCTGCCGCACACACCAGCTGTCAAAACTCCACTGGCTGCTGCTGCCGTTGTGTACGAGGTAGGTGGGTGGAGAGTGGGGTATGTGTGCATGTGTGTGTGAGATAACTAGAGATGTGTTTCGAGACGTCTCAAAACTCGCTGTAGTGTATGAGGTGGATGGAGATTGGGGTTTGTGTGCATGTGTGTGTGAGAGAGCGATACAATACAAAAAACCGTTTGAGCGAGTGATGTGTGCTTTCGCTCCGGGACATGCTTGCTTACTCTCACTATAAAATATGCGATCAAGTTTAACGTATTTTAACAAATAATTTTGTGCTGTAATGAACCAGAATGTTTGCTGCAACTGTGCAGCCCTGCCAATCCATCGCCCACTCGCCTCACTCCACTCCGCCTGCCCCTCAGGAATGCCTTGGAGTCTCTGAAGCTGCCACCACCAGGGCCTTTGAGTCGACTCAAAACCCACCCCTTTCAACTCCTTTGCACCCCATCCGTGTCATCACTCCACTCCGCCTGCCCCTCAGGAATGCCTTGGAGTCTCTGAAGCTGCCACCACCATGGCACCAGGTGCGATGTGTCCTGATACCATATCGTAAGTGTGTGAGGTTTGTCCTGAGACCATGTGAGTAGTGTCTGATACCATATCAGTGCGTCATGTTATACTGCATATGGTATGCCGGGCATTTCTGCAATCATTGGGTCTTTCGTTAAATCAGGCCTTTTATTTGAGTTTTATTTAGCAAGGAGACACAGCACTTTGAATTTTCTTGTGGCAGAATACATTCCGCAGGAAGGAATGTTAAAGGACTCTAGTATATTTACGGTATTTATTCAACCCCTTTTGCTTGCAGATGCCACTGAGGAGGAAGATGTGGAAATTGTTTCGTACCGGGTGCTTGAGCTGCCCGTTCAGCTGCCCGTCCAGAAGCCTCCAGTGGACAAGCCCAACCCGAAACAAGGAGTTGGTAAGTCTGTGCTTTAGGTGTGAATACTGATTCTTTAAATTATAACAAGAAGTCGGTAAGTCTGTATTTGAGGTCAAATAATTGTAGTAGAAACCACCTCCAGTTCCTGAAACAAGCAAATGGTGAAGACGTGGTTTGGTTGGCTGAGATTGGCAGCTGAAATTGGCTAGCTTGACTGAGGTTGACTGAGATTGGCTGAGATTGGCTGAGGTTGACTGAGATTGGCTGAGATTGGCTGAGATTGGCTGAGATTGGCTGAGATTGACTGAGATTGGCTGAGATTGGCTGAGATTGACTGAGATTGGCTGAGATTGGCTGAGATTGACTGGAGATTGGCTGAGATTGACTGAGATTGGCTGACATTGGCTGAGATTGACTGAGATTGACTGAGATTGGCTGAGATTGGCTGAGATTGGCAGCTGAAATTGGCTAGCTTGACTGAGGTTGACTGAGACTGGCTGAGATTGGCTGAGATTGGCTGAGATTGGCTGAGATTGACTGAGATTGGCTGAGATTGACTGAGATTGGCTGAGATTGGCTGAGATTGGCTGAGATTGGCTGAGATTGACTGAGATTGACTGAGATTGACTGAGCTTGCATGAGATTGACTGAGCTTGCATGAGATTGCCTGAGCTTTGCTGAGTTCTCTCCTCTCCCCTCCTCTCCTCTCCCCTTCTTCCCTCACACCCTCCATCACCACCACTTCCCTCGCTGCTGCATTGTTAGGGGCCAAGAACCGGGGTGAGAGTGGACTAGTTGGCTGCAACTGTCCATTGCAGGGTGTTTTTTATAATTTTCAAAAACAAATGTCAGGAGCCGAGAACCAGGGTGAGAGAGATCCAGTTGGCTGCAATTGCCTATTGCCCCAGTCATGCTCTTCTTTCTTTCAAATACCCTACCCACTCCCACCCCCCAACACGCCCGTCAACTCATCCCCTCCAGGTCTCATACAGTGGAGTGCCAAAGGAGAGTATCTAGCCACGCGCTGCGATGACATCCCGACCGTCCTTTGGATTTGGGCGGCACGGCGCAAGTTTGAGCTGGCGGCGGTGCTGTTGCAGCGGCAGCCAATCAGAGCAGCTGCCTGGCACCCGGCAGTTCCTTGCATTGCATTTTGTTCTGGTACACCACATTTATTTACGTGGAAGCCGATTAAAGTTAGCGATGGTGGAAGTAAGGGAAGCGTTGATGGTGGTGGAGGCATGGATAGCATTGCTGCTGGTGGAACCACTGAAGGGAATGGTGGCGGAGCAGTTTTGGCAGCAGAACAAAAGGAAAGGGTGAGTAGCAGTTCAGCATCTACTTTTAGAGTGCGGGACGGCATGGCTGTTTGTGATTTGGAGTGGGACAAGGAAGGCCAGTGCCTTTTGTTGAAGGACAAGCAGAAGTGCTGCATTGCTCTCCCTGCTTTCCATACCTTAGATTAGAAGTGGAGTGAAAAGTTGTGTGTCTGCTGTAAATACAAATTGTTGAAGTATAGTCCTCGCTTTAGCGTGCCTTGCCAAAACTTGTAGTATGCTGTATGAAACCGCTGAACTGCAAAAAAACGTCCGCAACGGGGAGGTTGGAAGGGGGGCACAAGCTGTTTGCTTTTCGGGTGTACCCTTCTTCGAGAGGCTGATGGAACTCACCTCAGTTTTTGTGGTGCAGTATAGCTGTAAATTACCCACCGACACTGGCCCGTGAAATTTCTACCAGAAAGCGATCTACGCTGCCGTTTGTGGCAGCAAGATGTGGAAAAACCATGGAACACCAAAATTTGTTCAATAGAGAGCAGTTCCAGTCATACCCTTGGATGTGTTAGGGCAACACTGGTCGTTTCATGTTCGCGGTGCTTCACTTTGGGGTGATGGGTGTGGCATAGCTTGGAATTCTGTGGATGGAGCACCCATGATCGATGCAGCACACTGAACAACCATGGATGCCTAGAAAAGCTTGTCGCTGGAAAAAATAATATACCAACGGACGGCAGTCGTGCGTTCAGTGATTTTTTTTTCTGGCAGCTCCGAAGGTGGCCGTTCAGATTACCACGCGGAAGTTCAGTTCACTGAGTTTTATTCTATTCCGACCTGAAATTTCATTTTCGACACGGAATCTCTCAAGACGCTGCCTCGAATACCACCGTCCATTTCTCGGCTTTCCCGTGTTGCTCGGTATCAGATTTCTGAAAATATCATCTGGAATCAGAATCTTTCGTCACTTGCGTTGCGCTGTCTCGACGAGGCGTGAAACAGCAGCCATCATGATGGATCCGCTAGACGAGCTCATGAAACTGCAGGTCAGCCCTCTGTCACCCCAGATTTGATTCTTGAATTGAAAGTCGCTTGCGTTGCTCTGTCTCGACGAGGCGTGAAGTTGAGGCGCGAAGCCGCAGCCATAAATCCGGTAGACGAGCATATGAAGCTGCAGGCTAGCGCTCACCCCGCTTTCCGTCAGCTGCTAGAGGAGCTTCAGTTATCGAGCAACGACGCACGTGGAGTTAAGCCGCTGTAATGATTCCGATCTGCGTCAGCGCTTGTTTCGTCACTTTATATCACCTTGTTTCACCATTTTCGTGTCACGTTACGTTATGTTATGTTTTTTTTTGTTTTTTTTTTCCACAGGAGGAGTACGACAAACTCGAGTCCGTCTATAACGCGGATGTGTCTAAGGCTCTTAAGGCGTACCAGCGAACATGCGACCCTCTTTTTGAGGTAATCTCCGAACCCATCCAATCAGTCCATTGGTTATGGCTAATTGATTTACCACATGATTTTTTTTTTCCTCATGGACGTGGAAATCCGCCTCTTTATCCATCCTTTCATCCATTTGTTAAAATCTGTCTGTGCATATCAGAGGCGAAAGCAAATCGTGTGTGGAGATTCAGAGCCGACAGGGGAGGAGGCAGCCGCAGACCCAGACGAGGAAGATGAAGAGGAAGAGGAGGAGGAGGGAGGAGGGGAGCAGCAGCAAGGAGGGAAGGTGGCGAAGGCGCCTAAGGGCGTGCCCAAGTTCTGGCTCACAGTCTTCAAGAAACATGTACGTGGGTCCCTCCCTGTGTTGACACGAATTCCAGGTGACTTTTGAGGCATGAAGGCGCCTAAAGGCGTGCCCAAGTTCTGGCTCACAGCCTTGAAGAAACTTGTACGTGGATTCGTGTTTTGAGGTTATATATTGGAATTTATATATTGTTGTGAGCCCTGCTGAAGGCATCTTGTTTGTTGTCTTGGTTATTTCTCACCCGCCACTTACCACACCATCCGAACGTGCAGGCCTGCTGCACACTTGTGTGCAGAGCTGCTGAAGGCCTCAAGACTTGTCTTTTCCTCTACCCGCTCGCTGTGCCTGTCCCTAGTTGATTTTTGAGGCGACTTAGAAGTCGCCTTGCTGCACACTTGTATGCAGAGCTGCTGAAGGCCTCAGACTTTTCTTTTCCTCTTGCCACTCGCTGTGCCTGTCCCTATCACCTCCCTTCTCTCCCATCACTCCCTTCTCTCCCATCACTCCCTTCCCCTCTTCTCTACACCCCCGCCCTCACAGGATGCTGTAGCGGAGTTCATTCACAAGGGGGACGAGGAGGCTTTGGAGAGCCTAAGGGACGTGCGTGTGCAGATAGTCCCGTGACCTGCCTCACTCTATTCTCCCCGCCCCTTCCCTCCGCTGCCCTCCCCTTTCTGCCATCACAGGATGCTGTAGCGGAGTTCATTCACAAGCGGGACGAGGAGGCATTGAAAAGCCTAAGGATCGTGCGTGTGCAGATGCTTCCTTGACTCGTCTCACTCTGTTCTCCCCCACCACGCCCCTCCCCTTCCTTACAGGATGCTGTAGCGGAGTTCATTCACAAGCGGGACGAGGAGGCATTGGAGAGCCTAAGGGACGTGCGGGTTCGCTTTGTTAAAGCTGCTGGTGACAGTAGCGGTGCCTCTGATAAGGGCACAGGTGGTGCAGTTACGCGGCTGGAGCTACACTTCGGCCCCAACGCGTTCTTCTCTAACAAATCGCTCTATATCGAGACAGTGGAGGTGGCTACAGGAGGAGGGGGGGAGGAGGGGGAAATGGGGGAAGAAGAGGGGGATGGGGGCGGAGGGGGAGGGGGAGGGTCGGTGGTGGTGGTGAAAGAGGTGTCTGAGATTCAATGGAAGGGCGTTGAGAAGAATTTGACGCTGAGACAGATTGTGAAGGCTGGGAAAAAGGGAAAGGTGAGTTAGGGGCGGAGGGGGAGGGGTAGGGTCGGTGGTGGTGGTGAAAGAGGTGTCTGAGATTCAGTGGAAGGGCGTTGAGAAGAATTTGACTCTGCGACAGATTGTGAAGGCCGGGAAGAAGGGAAAGGTGAGTTGGGTGCGTTTTGGTTGCTTTTTGGGTGTAGCTGGTGGATGAACCAGCCTGGCTGATTGGATAGATAGACTATGCATGCCAAGAGTGAAGAAGGATTCGAACGGCAGGCCGATTCGATAGACTATGCATGCCAAGACGAAGTTATTTGATGCCTCAGAAATAGTCCTCAGGCTAACTGGATGGTCTATTGTGTGATGAGGCAAATCGTGTGAAGGCTGGGAGGAAAGGGGAGACGTGTTGGGCCTGGTCGATTGATCAGTTAGGTTGACTGGATATACTATCTGATGCTGGTTGGAGAGGGGGGTTGACATGGGCTGATTGGATAGATTATACGATATCGAGGCCCCTGGCGCAATTAAAACCATGTCCTGCTCCTCCTCCTCCAAATCCCTTGCCCCCTCGCGTTCTTGTTCTCTTGCCCCTGCACTGGCTCGGCTCGGGTATAATGCTCAAGTCATGAGCTAATTGACGACACAGTTCGGCTCTTGCTGGCTTACTTGACCCGACTCTGTTTGAAAACAGGCCGAGCCATACGCGGCTCGAGACGACGCTGGCTTGGCTTGTCTCATGTTCATCTCTTCTACAAGACAGTGATATCGCAGCTTAACGATCGAGCACGCCCCGGTTCTCGCCGTTGCGACATATTGAGTTGAAATTGGAGGCGCCTCAAAGTCCAACTCAAAATTCAACTTTTGAGGCGCCTCAAAATTCTACAAGACAGTGATATCGTAGCTGAAGGACCAAGCACGCCCCGGTTCACGCCGTTGCAACGAATTCAACTGTAACGCCGTGTTCACCTCTACTACAGGTTTGGCAGGCCTTAATGAGCTTCATTCTCAAGTAGCCTCCGTGATCGATCTTTTTTTGAAGGAGAGTTGGATTGCTCTGGCATGGGAGCTCGAACAGATTCTGAAGAGATTGTTGATATGGCTCAAAGTTGCCGGCATGCAGCCAATACGCGATGACGAAGAAAGATGGCTCTGTTGGGCTGAGCAGGGCATGCGCCTACATGCCGACAGCTTTGAGCCATATCAACAATCTCTTCGGAATCTGTTCGCGCTTCCATTGCAGCCACATCAATCTAACTCTCCTTTCAAAAACGATCGATCACGGAGGCTACTTGAGAATGAAATTCATGAAGGCCTGCCGAACCCGAACATTTGATCGTGTTGGACCCCCTCCCCCCTTTTTCTTGCCCTTTCGTCCCTTTGTTTTCCTATGACAGGGTGGCAAGGGAAAAAAAGGAGCAGGTAGGGAAGCCGAGGCTCCCGCCACAGTTGAGACCAAGCCCTGCCCTTCCTTCTTTTACCTTCCTGCTTCTTCCCCCCTTGCTCTCCTCCTCTCCCCTTGTTTTCAATCACAGGGTGGCAAGGGGAAGAAAGGAGGAGGTAGGGAAGCTGAGCCTCCTGCGACAGTCAAGACCAAGCCCTGTCCTTCCTTCTTCAACTTCTTCACCATTCCCTCCCTCGTTCCCTCTCTCTCGCAAACCCCTTCGCCTTGTTCTTGCCCTTGGCCCCCTTCCTATCACAGGGAGGTAAGGGGAAGAAAGGAGCAGGTAGGGAAGCCGAGCCTCCCTCAACAGTCAAGACCAAGCCCTGCCCTTCCTTCTTCAACTTCTTCACCATTCCCTCCCTCGTTCCCTCTCTCTCGCAAACCCCTTCGCCTTGTTCTTGCCCTTGGCCCCCTTCCTATCACAGGGAGGTAAGGGGAAGAAAGGAGCAGGTAGGGAAGCCGAGCCTCCCTCAACAGTCAAGACCAAGCCCTGCCCTTCCTTCTTCAACTTCTTCACTCTCTCGCGTAACATGCGGGGCAATAAAGCCACCGCCCAGCTCAGCAGCAAAGGGGGGAGGAGCAGAGGGGGGGACGGAGACGAGGGGGATGAGGGGGAGGAGGGGGATGAGGAGGCGGAGGAGGAGGGAGACGAGCGATTGGAGGGTATGCCTGTGTTTGGGGGGGAGGATCTGGGGGAGGTGGTTCTGAGGGTGCCTCAGGAGCGGGTGTTATCTGATGGCAAGATGGACGTGTGGCAGGCGCTGTGCAACGAGGTGCGTGTCGGTTCAGTGCGGTGCAATGATGTGTGGTGCGATGTGGTGGGGTAACGGGGTATATTTGTCCTGGGCAGCGGGTGTTATACGGTGGCATTGGCAAGATGGACATCTGGCAAGCGCTCTGCAGCGAGGTGCGTGGCGGTTTAGTGCGGTGCAATGCTATCTGGTGTGGTACGTCTACAGATTTGCACACCAGGGAACGTGCTCACCGTCTTCAGTTTAACTGAAAAGTAATCCAACATCCACCGTCCCCCCTTCTCTCTGTTCCACCCTCCCACTCTACCTCTCAGGTGGTACGCAGGGCAGCTGATCTGTTCAGGAGCACAGGCATTGGGAAGGGCGAGGGAGGCATGGGGGTAGTAGTGAATAATGCTTCCACGTAACCGCAACCCTCCAATCCCCCCTCTCCCCCACTCCCCACACACAACCACACACCACACGTGGTACGCAGGGCAGCTGATCTGCTCACGAGCACAGGCTTTGGGGAGGGGGAGGGAGGTATGGGTGGTGGTGGTGATGATGCTTCTTCTCCCCACCCCTCCCCACCCCCCTTCCCCTACCGCACACATGCCCCTGCCTTTTCTCACCTTCCCCTACTGCACACATGCCCTCTCAGGTGATACCCAGGGCAGCTGATCTCTTCACGAGCACAGGCTTTGGGGAGGGAGGCATGGGTGGTGGTGGTGGTGATGATGATGATGAGGAGGAGGATGCTGACGTGGCAGACGAGGAGGGGTACGAGCACGTTCGGCGCCCATCTTCCGGACCTCATCGGCTGGTTCGGCGCCGGATCAGGTGTGTGTGCTTGCGAGAGTGTGCATCTAGAGTCTGTGTGCATTTGTGTGTGTGTGTGTGTGTGTGTGTCCTTTTTGCAATTCCCTTTCTTTATTAGTAGGAAGAGTTTCCCCTTTCTCCCTTCCTTCCTCCACTGTCTACCACAGTTCCTTACCGTCGCGGCAGCAGCGGGCATAGAAGCCCTTCCGTCTACTTTACTTACTGCCAGCGGGCAGTAGCCAGAATCCCCCCTTTTTCCAGTCCCCCTTACCTTCTTCCCTTGCCTCCCTTTCCCCTTCCATTCAATCCAGAGCGTTGAAGCACCTGCAGCGGAAGCAGCAGCAGGCAGAGCGCAGGAGGGAGGCCGCCAGGTTCCCACTCATTCCCCTGTCCTCCTATCCCCCCGTCTCCACCCTCTTCCCCGCTGGCCCTCTCCCTCGTCCCTTGCTCTGCCTATGCCCATCAGAGCGTTGAAGCACCTGCAGCGGAAGCAGCAGCAGGCAGAGCGCATGAGGGAAGCAACCATTGCTGGTGCTCGCGCCTCTCTCAGTGAACGCTCTTCAGGCATCTTTGCTCGGCGCAAGGCGGTGGTTATTGGTTCCAAGGCCCTTGACAGGTGTGCGTGTGGTATGGTATGGTTCGAGGTATTTAACCAGGTGCATGGTTTGGTTTGGTAGTGTAGGTCTTGAACCTTATTCAGGGTGGTTTAGGGACCAGAGCGCTGCTTGCGCCTCCCTGAGTGATAGCTCTGCTGGCACTAAGATATCTTAGTTCGATGCAAGGCATTGGCTGTGGCCCCCTTTTGAGACGTCTCAAAAGGCGCTGCTTGCGTCTCCCTGACTGAGAGCGCTGCTTGCGTCTCCCTGAGTGAGAGCGCTGCTTGCGTCTCCCTGAGTGAGAGCGCTGCTTGCGTCTCCCTGAGTGAGAGCGCTGCTTGCGTCTCCCTGAGTGAGAGCGCTGCTTGCGTCTCCCTGAGTGATAGCTCTGCTGGCATCTATCTCAGTTCGATGCAAGGCACTGGCTGTGGGCCCCTTGGCAGGCCGAGGCCCTTGAGAGGTGAGCCGTCAGGTGGGGCCATGGCATGTAGTCATAGGATCTGCCTAGGGGAACCTGGCATGCCAACATACATGGTCACCCTCTGGATGTCTACCCTTTTCCTGCAGAGGGGAACCTGCTTTGTCCTCCTGGCTCCGCGCTTCTTGCTCCTTGTCTTGCGCTCTGTCCCCTGCCTTGTTGAGACCATTCGCCGCCACAACCTTTTGCAAACCTCTTTCCACTACTATTTCCCCCCTCGTTTCTACTCCTTCCCTCGCAGCGGGGATCCCTCGAGGGTGGTCGAAAACATTCGCCGCCGCGACCACCCTCTCTTCGTACCCTCTTTCCACCAATATTCCCCCCATCCCTCTCTTCCTCCCCCCCACAGCGGTGATCCCTCCCTCGCCCGCCTCCCCCGCTTCTGGCTTCTCGTCCTGCGCTCCGTGCCCTGCCTCGTTGAGACCATTCGCCGCCGCGACCACCCTCTCCTCGCACACCTCTCTGACATTCGCTGGAGGCCACTCAAGGGGAGAGAAGGAGGAGAGGGAGAAGAGGGAGGAGAGGAGGGAGGGGAGGAGGGGGATGGGGAGAGGGGAGGAGATGGAGGGAAGGGCGAGAAAGCCGAGTGTGGGAAGGGAGAGTCGGGGTTTGTGATAGATTTCGAGTTCCTGCCCGGATGCAAGGAATGGATGGCCAATCACGTGCTCTCAAAGGCGTATTTTTTCCGAACCCGGGCAGCCAGTGGTGGTGGTGGCGGCGGCACCGGCGCAGGAGGCTCGGCGGGCACCGAGGCTGGGGCGTTGGCTCGGGTGGAGTGTAGGACGCCGATAGTGTGGGAGGAAGGGATGGAGTTGACGCTGAAGGAGGTGCAGGACAGCAAAGGGCGGCTGCGAGTCAAGCCCTGCCCCAGGTATCATTTTCTCCAGGTACCACCTGCCCCAGGTACTGTGTTACTCCATGTGAGGTGCAAGAAATCTGGCTTGTCCTTGGTTGTTCTGCAAGTACTCTTGTGACTTCTGGTGCTGACATCATCCCCCCTACATATTCTCCCATTTGCAGCTTCTTCCAGCTGTTTGACAACAATCGCTGCCACCTGGCGTTTGCTGGTGACGAGGCGGTCCACCTGTCGGCTTCCGAGTTGCTGGATAGGGAAGCTGACGTGGCACTGGCCCTGCGTGACGTGGCGATCCCGCGTGCTGCTGAGCTGTACAGGCAGGCAAAGGAGTGGGATCATGGGGATGAAGAGGATGAGGAGGAGGAAGAAGAGGGCGAGGAGGAGGAAGTGGAGTCAGGAGAAGAAGATGATTATAACGGAGACAAGGTAAGTGGATCTGTACCCCCTTTTAACTACAAATGTTATGCTGTATGTTTTCCTTGTCAAGTTCTCTGCTCATCCTTGTTTGTTCATGTGTGCATTTCTTTCATAGCTCCTTCTATATGAACCACCGGTATGCTTTTCTTTGTCCATATGACTCCTGTTCATATGCCCTTCGTTTCCTTGCTGTGCCCTTCATTACAGCCGAAGGGAGCTTTGAGTGACGCAGCTATTCGGAAGAAGCTTCTGGAGAGGAAGAAGAGGAAGAAGCGGGGAGGGAAGGATGGAGATGAGGACGATGATGTGCGCATATGTGGCCTGCCAAGGAATGTTGCGTATGGCCTGCTGCTTCTGCTTGTGTTCTCGGCTCCATTCATAATTTTCCTTGATGAGGTTCTTATGCGCTTGGGGTTGTGATGCAACAGTGCCATACCATCCTTTTTACCTTTTCATAAGTTTTAGAGTTTAAGTTTCAAACTGTAACGTGACTCTGTTTGAAGCCTTGGACGAAGGTTACGCGTCTGTAGAGTGTATTGAAGCTCTACAATTGTTCGCTGGGGCAGTATCACTGTAGGCGATTCGAAGTGCAAAACGCACAAGGTCTCTCAAGGTTGTCGGCCATACAGTATCACTGCAACTCGCATATTTGTGATTCTAGTTTTCCCCCTTGATTTCCCGATACACCGTAGTCATAAACATCGATATTCATTTAGAGTATCAAGGTTGACTAATATGTGCGATCGCCAAGAGGATCAGTTTTTGCAATGTAACGCAAAAAAGGAGAAACAGTATTTTTTTTGCAGATGCCACAAATCAAATGCTTTGCTTTCGAAATGGCGGTCCAGACCATACCAGACAAAGCCGTACACTCGGCCGTCAGTTTCGTCGTTTCCGGTTCCCCAGCAGTTGGGACTGCATTGACTTGGGTTGTGCTCCATTTTCTTTCGTGTTGTCGGATCGCGGATTCTCTCATCGAATCGGCCACTACCTGAAAGCGGGAACATGTAGCCCGCGCACGTAATTGGTAGCCGAGCGTCCCGCGCCCCGTGCCGGGGAGTCGAAGATTTGAAATCCATCGCATGACCACCACAAGATCGCAAGTCGTCGTAAGAGATCGCGATAGGTGACGTGGAAGCTGTTTGTCGCAGCCATTTCTAGCCGCAACTGTCGTTCAAGCTCCCTCTTCTTCAGCCGAGCTGTCGCAAACGTCGCTCACGTCGACGATCAGTCCCTTTTCGATGGGGAGCATGTCGCACGGGCTGCGACCAGATGAGGCTTGTGCGACCGCCCGTCCCACATTCTTATCAATTCGCCCCTCCGGCATATCTTCCGCTGCGGCTAAATTTGAACACATTTCTCGGATGCCTTTCCCGAAACGCAACTGCCAAAGTTGCTCCTTGTAACCGTACTAAAAACCTGATTTTGTTTTATGCACCACGTTCCAGCTCATTTCAAACCACGATTTGCACAACCACGCCGCACGGCGCAAGGAAACCCATACACCATGCGCAGCCACTCGAACCACGGCGGCAAAGCACCAAAACAATCATCCAGCAACTGATGCTACCCAAACCCGACCCCAAGCCATACACCCACAACCCTACTCGTCCTTTCTCGCTCATGAGTCATGACCACGACCCGCCCGTCGGCTGTCCGCCAAATCCCGACGTCATGCGACTGGAAGTCAATCCTGTCCCTCAGTTAGGTTACTTCCTCTGCTTCTCCTAGCCCGTCACGACGGGAAGCAAGGTGGCTGCAGAGAACACACAGGCGATCAACCAACCAAGCGTCACCTCACAAGCCAGCAGCTGACTTCCTTCTAGCTGGCCCCTGCTCACATGCCATTACGCTTCTGCGTGTCTCGTCGTACAGTCTGATTTGAATGTCTCAGTTCTAGAACCAGGAGAGGCGAGAATCTTCCGTCAGTCTAGGAGATTATCCATGCGCTCGGGACCGCATTCCAGACGCGCGTATTATTCTAGATTAACTAGGCGAAACTGTCAGTAGTTGCGCGAAGCCGAGGTGCGTGCGGCGGCGTAAGCGATATTCGGAGCAAGAATGCAGCGCGATCTTAGAATTGAATGACTGGACTAAAGAGCGAGACCGATTCTCTAGATATCTCGCGCGTTTTCATGCTTCGGGGTGACTGAAGTCGCAACACGACTTGTAGCATAGGGATAATAGACGTGGGGACGTGTTGGGTGGTGATTATATCGAGGGGCGGATGCCTCTCGGTTCTGCGGAATCTCAAGACGAGGAGCGCAGACACATGCCGCCGTCCGCGCATGCACCCCTTTCCGCGCATGCGCCTTCCGCCGCGCCCTCCGCGCAGGCACTCGCGCTGATACCCCTCCCGAACGGCGCGCTGTTCGGTTCTGCCGTGCCCCTGCAGCAGCAGCAGCAGCTGCTCCAGGCGCGCGACGGGGAGGGCGCGCAAGCGCAACTCCATGCACCGCAGCAGGGGCTGAAAGCGCCGCAGCAGGCGGGCCAGCTCGGGTTCTTCAACGGTCACCAGACAGAATTTCTAGGCAGTAATGTTCACAATCCGATTCGTGGATCGGGGTTTGGGGGAATGGTTGGGGCGGAGGGAGGCACTGCGCCCGCGGAGCAGTCAGGCGTGCGGGCGGCGGAGCAGCAGCAGGGACAGGCGCAGCCCGCGCAGCTTGCGCAGCAACAACATCCGCAGTTTCTACAGCCACAGTCGTACCAGCCCGCGCAAATCCCGACGCAATACCCACCGCAGTATTCGCAGCAGCAGACGTTTGCGCAAGGGATGGTGATGCAACAAGGACAACAGAACCATTACCAGCAGCAACAGCCACAGCATCAGCCGTCACATCAGCCGCAGCAGCAGCAACAGCAGCCTCTTCCGGTATTTCAACATCATCAGCAATATCAGCAGCAGCAGCAGCAACAGGGGCAGCAGCCTTTGCACCCGCCGTCGCTCCGCCCTCTCTCTCTCAATGGTAACGCGAGTATGCCTCACACCCAGCAAGACAACTCGTCGTTGTCGTCGATGTCTCTTCTTCCTCCGCCTGCCGCTCCCTCACTCGCTCCTCCTCAAAGCGTCACAGGCAGCAGCGCACCGGGACCTAGCGCCTCCGCGCAATTTCTTTCCCCGTCCAATGGGAATCAGCAGTCCATGCAGACACACCCGCAGCAGTACCAGCAGCAGCAACAGCAGCAGCCGCCCCCCCAGCATCCGCAGTACCAACCACTTCAGCAGCAACAGCAGCAGTATCCTCCCCACCAAACACAGCAGCAGCAGCAGCAGCCGCCGCCGCAGCAACTGCAACAGCAGCAGCAACTGCAGCAGCAGCAGCAGCAGCAGCCCATCGTGCCCCCGCTCCTCCACCTTCCCCTTCCCGCGCTCTCCGAAGCCCCCGCGGCCCCGGCTCTCGCTTCCCCGCCCTCGTTGTCCTCCAAGTCCCCCGCGGAGGTTCATCCGCCAATGGAGCCGCTTCCGCCGCTACTTCCGCCCCCCGCCAACCTCAACTCTTCCGCCACCGCCGCACCGTCGTTCCCGTCAATCGGCCGCCCCCTTCCTTCACTTGCGCAGAACACCCGCGGGCTCCCTTTTGGCGGAACGGGCGCAACCGGAGCAAGCTCCACGGGGAACGCCGCGGGAGCCGCCGCGCCGCCGCCGACCACCACCGCTAACTACACGACTCCCGCGGGCCGGTTGCGCGTGGGTTCTCACCTTCCGCTACTCGGCGGTAGGTTCCGTTTCCGCGCAACGATCTCGGAAGGTGGGTCTGCGCGCGTGTTCGAGGCGGTGGATACCGCTGGCAGCTCCGCAGCTGGCGCAAGCGGAGGGGGCGCGCTCGGGGGATTACCAACGGCGTCGGATCTTCAACGGGCGTCGAATCAAAACCAGAGTCAGCTACAACCGACCGTTGTGATCAAGGCGATGCACCGGCAGTATCGTGAGGTGGGACGGCAGGAGCTACAGCTGCTACATATTCTCAACTCGCTTCTGCCGGCCGCGGTTGGCGGCGCAGAAAACGGAAGCGCGGAGAACGGGGATCGAGAGCCGGACGGTTGTCCGGTAGTGCGGTTGATTGAACCTGGAGGATTTGATTTTTCCGGACACATGTGTTTGGTGTTGGAGAAGCTTCACGGGTCGCTCCTTGATTACCTCTGTCGCCGGGCCGTTGAAGACGCCTCCGTGAAACCCGCCGGATCAGCCGCCGCGTCTCCCGGTGGCGCGTCCGCATCTTGCAATTGCGCGGAGAACTCTGTCGAGGAGGGCGCGCGGAGCGGACCAGTTGCGCGCGCACCAGCGTTCCCCGACAGAGTGGAGGACGTCCGCGCGGTTGCGCGCCAAGTGCTCACGGCGCTCGCGGCGGTCCATTCGATCGGGTTCATCCACGGGGATATCAAGCCCGAAAATATCCTCCTTGCTGCGCCGATTCCAAGCGGAACCGCCGCGGTTGCTGCAGGAGTGTCGGGTTCGGGGGGGCGGGTTTGCCCGGTGCATTCCCTGCGGCCGGCGCCGTTGAATATCAAGCTCGCTGATTTTGGAAATTCGTTCATGCAGCGGCAGGTGAAGGATTTGTGTCGGGATTTTGATGTTCAGACGCTCGCGTACCGGGCACCTGAAGTTTTGCTCGGGCTGCCATTTGATAAGAGTATCGATCTCTGGTCTCTGGGGTGTGTTCTTTCGGAGCTCGCGATTGGCCGGTTGCTTTTCGTCTGTGATTCGCCCGCGCAGCTGCTTCGCCAGATGGTGGAGATGCTCGGGTTACCTCCTCCTGCGAAGCTGTTTCGCAACGGAAAGCTCTTCCCGCAGCTTGCGAGGAGCGCGCGTGTATACCCGTCGCAGCAGCTGGAGGAGATCGCAGGAGATGCGGATGGCGAGGGTGGGAAGGCTGCGGGCGACGACGACGCAGCGGAGAAGAATCATGCGACAATTCGGTAAGAAAAATTCAGGGGCAGTGTAGGTGAGAACTTGCTGTTGGTGCAGCAAAATTGTTTTTTCAAACACGACCGGCTGGAGGAGGAAGGGATTGGGGCATGGTTGCCCAATCAAAAGTCTGGATTGGCGGCGCGGTAAGCGCGACGCGGTTGACGAGAAATTCGAGATTTGGATTGCACATTGTAGTTGGTGCAGGTGGATAACGGTTTCGCTTGGCTAGGCATCTTTCGCGAATATCGTCAAATGTGCGAAAATGTATCTCGAACCTCACAATGGCTGAGAAGTAGCATTCGCCAGTATCGCGAAACGATTTGCGAAAACCTACAATTTTGACATCTCTAATCCCCCCACCATAAGTGCCCGCAAGTGCCCACAAGCACCTCTTATGTCCTTACTGCCTCAACCTACCTATTTTCCTACCTTACCTCCTATTTGCAGGCGTGGTCGACTTGGCCGGATGCTGTTACAACACGATCCTCTCATGGCGGAGCTCATTTTCTCCTTGATGGAGTACGACCCAGCTAAACGCCCCTCTGCTCAGCAGGTGAGCTTCGTCTCGCGATTTCATTCTCTTTTTCCTGCATGTGCACACCAACGACTTGAACACCTGCACTCAAAACCATACGGAATTTGACCATCCGTTTTCTAATGTATGTTTTTCGTATTCCCCCCTCTCCCTGTCCAGGCGCTACTGCATCCTTTCATCCAGACCTCCCAGAACGCGCAACCCTCTGCCCCTCCGCCCATCCCCTCCTCACCCGCCCCCTCCGCCTCCGTCCCCGCCTCCCCCGCGCTTCCCCCGCTCCCTGCCTTCACCGCACCCCGCACCGCACCTCCAATCAAACCCGAGCCTGTCTTCGAGCGCTCTGCCTCCTACCCTCTCACGTCAGGCTCGGCAGGAGGCTCGGCAGCAACCGGACCTGAGCCAATGGCTCTGGATTCCAGGCCTGTGCCTGTATTCTCCCTTGGAAACGGTCTCCCAGCCACCGGTCCGTTCCAGCAGCAGCAGCAGCAGCAGCAGCCGCAACAGCAGCCGCAACAGCAGCAGGAGCAGCAAGAGCAGAACCAGGAGCAGAGCCAACAAAACGGAAACAAAAGAGGGAATCGGACCCCTGGTGCCGCCGCTTCTGGCGCTACTGCTGCTGCTGCTGTGGCGTCTCCGGCAGCGGCGGCGGGTGGTAAACCACCAGCGAACCGAAGGGCTGTGGCTCGGAGCAAATCTGCCTCCACAGCAACTCCTTCGGGCAGAAACGCTGCTAGAGCTGCTACAGCCGCGGCTAAGGCTGCTGCTCTTGCTGCCGCTGCGAGTGCCAAGGCCTCCACTAATAACCCTGCGGCAGCAACGGCTGCTGCGGCTTCTACTGTTGCTGGTGCCGCAGACGCTACAGTCGCTGCTACAACAGCGACTGCCACTGTCATTCCAGGACCCAGCGACAGTGCTACTCCCTCAAGTCAACCCGGTCAACCTGGTCAAGCCAGTCAAGCCGGTCAACCAGGTCAATCTGGTCAACCCGGTCAACCCAGTCAACCTGGTCAATCTGGCGCTGCTGCTTCAGACTCGAAGAATCCTGGCGACGCGCTTCACCTGAAGCAGCTGTCCCAAAACTCCCTGTTTTCCCGCGCGGCCTCGTTCCTGCAATCCTTTAAGGTGGCGCTTCCATCTCCTGCTGCCGCTGGTCCTTCTCCGGGGAATGGGAATGCGGCGGGTGGGAGTGTGGGGGGTGGAAACGGGGGAAGTGGGAATGTGGTGGCAGGAAGAGAGGCTGTGGGAGGCGGAGGGGTGTTGGGTGGGGTTGGCGCAGGGGGAAGCGCTGGGGCCGGGGCAGGGGGAAGCGCTGGGGCCGGGGCAGGGGGGGCAGGGGGAGCGGTTCAGGGGGCGAGTCAGCAGCAGCAGCAATTGCAACAGCAGCTGTTACAGCAGCAGCAGCATTATCATTATCAGCAGCAGCAGCAGCAGCAGAACCAACAACAGAACCAACAGCAGCACCAACAGCAGCAGCAGCAATTGCAGCAAGCATACGTCTCAACACCATCCTCTGTAACCACCACTAGCAGCAGCAACCCCCCTCACCGTATCACCCAACTCCCCTCCCTCACCCCCCTCCCCAACCCCGCCCTTCCCCTCCCCCCTCCGCGCGGCCCCCCCGCCACCCTCCCCCCTGCATCTGCGCCCTCCCCTTCTTACCCCCCCTCCCACCCCCCACAAACCCCCGCTCTCCGCCCCTACCCTTCCACTCCTTACACACACCCCCAAACCCATCCCAACCACCTCACCACTCCTGCTGCAACCCCCGTTACAAGCACACCCGCGTCTCTCCCTCCTCCGGTCTGCCCCTCCCCGTGCATTCTCCCTGCCGCCGCTGCTTCCTTCCCAAACCCCCAGCAGCAGCAGCCCTCCCGGTCCCTCTCTCTCTCTGCTGTTGCAAGCCCTGCAAACGCAACCACGGGGAATGAGCAAGGACAGTTTTACAGAGGCACGAGCAACTATGGAAGCATGATGCAGCAAGCGCCACAAGAAGGCGGGCAGGCGCAGGGCCACGGGGGAAGCCAAGGGGGAGGCCAAGGGGGAAGCCAAGGGGGAGGCCAAAGGGGAGGCCAAGGGGGAAGCCAAGGGGGAGGGCAAGGGGGAGGGCAAGGAAGGACCCTCAGCTCGTCCGCCTCTGCACCTGCGCACGGGTCAATGCTACTTTCAGCCGCTGCCTCTGCTGCTGCTGCTGCTGCGGCTGCGGCTGCTGCTGCTGACGTTTCTTCTGGTGCCAATATCGGATGTGCTAATAACGGAGGTGGAGGTGGAGCAAGCAGTGGTGCTGCTGCTGCTCTCCCCGTCGGCATAGCCACTCCGTCTTATGTCACACCCGCTGCAGCCACACCAGCTGCAGTCACACCAGCTGCCGCTCAAACGCCCACCACTCCTGCTGCTCCCACGCTTCAACACTTCATGGGCCCTCCCTCTGCTGCTTCTTCTCCTGCAGTTTCGGCTGCTGCTGGTGGCGCTGGTGGTGGTTGTGGTAATAGTGCTTCTTCTCCTGCTACATACGCTGCACCCAATGCTGGTGTGAATGGTGGCGCTGGTAACAACATGAGCCGATTCGGCCTTCAGGTGCAAGCGCAGGCGCATTGTGGTAACCCGCAGCAGCAGCAGCCGCAGACACAGCAGCAGTCGCAGCAGCAGCAGTCGCAGCAGCAGCAGCCGCAGCAGCAGTATCACCAGCAACAGGAGCACCAGCAACAGGAGCACCAGCATCATCACCAGCACAAGCATCAGTGCCCGTTGCATGGTTCCATGCCTCACGCTCACACTCACACTCCTTCATACACTCCCTCACACTCGCAATCTCTACCCCATCCTCCCTCCCACACTCCAAACCAGCAGCAGCAGGTGGGCGGTGTTGCTCGTCCGCACATGCCGCCTCACCTTACCCACTCCCAGTCGTTCCCTACCTCTCACCCGTCTTCCCATCCTTCCTCTTATCCTTCACCTCACTCTCATTCCCGAGGGCGGCTCTCCCCTCACGTTCAACACACCTCTTCTCCTGCCTCTTCCGTTTCTCAGCACCAAAACTATCAGCAGCAGCAGCAGCAGCAGCAGCAGCAGCAGCAGCAGCAGCAGCAGCAGCAGCAGCAGCAGCAGCAGCAGCAGCAGCAGCAGCAGCAGCAGCAGCAGCAGCAGCAGCAGCAGCAGCAGCAGCAGCAGCCGCAACAGCAACAGCAACAGCAACAGCAACAGCCGCAACACCAACAGCAGCAGCAGCAGCAGCAGCAGCAACAACAGCAATACCAGCAGCAGCAATACCAGCAACAGCAACTGCAGCAGCAACAGCAGCAGCAGCAGCAGCAACAGCAACAGCAGCAGCAGCAACAGCAATACCAGCAGCAGCAATACCAGCAGCAGCAACAACAGCAATACCAGCAGCAACAGCAGCAGCAGCAGCAGCATCAACAGCAACAGCAGCAGCACAATCAATACCAGCAGCAACAGCAACAGCAACAGCAGCAGCACAATCAATACCAGCAGAAACAGCACAATCAGTCTGCTACCGAACCTGGTTCCGCTTCCCAAAACTACCGAACTCACTACTACCAAACCTCTGTCGCAGGTCAGGTACCTGCCACGCCTTCCCGCTCCGGTTTCACTGCGCCCACTTCTGCCGAACCTGCAGGTTCGATGGGTGCTCCTCCCATACCTGTTGCTACAGGTGCTGCTACAGCTGTTCCTACTGGTATGGGTGCGGGGAGAGGTACTTATTGGGGTGATTCTCCCGCCAACACTTACATAAGTGCTGCTCCCAGTGTGTCTGCACTTAGCGGGGGTCCTTCCATCCGGTTACTCTCCATCCCCACCGCATCTCCTGCCACGTCATCCATGTCTGCCGGGCCTGCCACGTCAACTGGCCGCGCTGTGTCAGCAGCACCTGCCACGTCAGCGGGTGGCGCTCGGTCCCCGCAAAGGGGCGCGGTGTCGTCTGGCTCGGCTGGCATGCTGAGGCTGCCAGGTGGCATGCCACATCAGCAGCAGCAGCAGCAGCAGCAGCAGCAGCAGCAGCAGCAGCAGCAGCAGCAGCAGCAGCAGCAGCAGTATTCGGAGGGGCATTCATGCATGCAGCAGCAGGTGCGGCACCAGCAGCAGCAGGGGCAGCAGCAGATCAGCATGCCTGTTGGCATTGCCAGGCCTTCAGTCTCAGCCAGCCGACCTCTGCAAACACAGCAGTGTCAAATGCACCAACCGCAGCAACAGCAGCAGTCACAGCAGCAGTTTCAGCTGCAAACGCAGCAGCAGCAGTATCGGCAACAGTGGCAGCAGCAGCAGCAGCAACCAGTGCAGCAGCAGCAGGCGGGGCAATTCACACCAGTGGCTGTAGACTCGAACGCTTACCAGATGCTCCCAGTCTCTTCCTTCACTCTCCCTCCTTCCCAACCGTCTGGTCCAGCCCCTTCTGGTCTTGCGCGGTCACCTACAGTTGGAGTGGCAGGAGAAGGAAGGCAAGAGGCAGGGACGAACCCTAGCGTACAGCAGCAGCAGCAGCAGCAGCAGCAGCAGCAGCAGCAGCAGCAGCAGCAGCAGCAGCAGCAGCAGCAGTTTCAACTGCAGCAATCGCCGCAACAGCAGCAGCAGCAGCAGCAGCCAGAGGCGTTCTATTCAAGCTACAACCCCACCAGCAGCTACGTTAGCAGCTACAATCGAAGCTCGGCTCTTTCCAATACCAACACTCTCACCCCTCCTGGTCCAGTAGGGAGCTTGGGTCTGGGCGTTGGGTCCGGTAGTGCTGGTTACAGGGATAGCCACTATGAGAGTAACAGTGGGGGGAACACTACCGCTTCGGTTCACGACTCTTATGCTGCTGGTGCTGCTGCTGCTTCTGGTGCAGCTGGCGCTGCTGCTGGTGGTATTGTTGGGGCAGGAGATAAGGGTTTTGGGGTTGGAGAAGCAGCAGAGGCTATGGAGAGGGGAGCAGGGGAAGACAGGAGTTACTCTTTCCCTAGTAGTGGTGTGGTGGCGCCTGCTGACCCTGCTGCTCTGTTTGCTGCTCCCCAGCAGCAACAGCAGCAGCAGCAGCAGCAGCAACTGCAGTGGCAGCAACCGCAGCAGCAGCAGCAGCAGTCAATGCACCCATTGCCTTACAGTGCAACAGCAGGGGCATGTGAAAAGGAGGCCACAGCAGGAGCAGGAGCGGCAGGAACAGCAGCCGGAGGAGTAGCAGCAGCAGTGTGCACACCCAAGTCCCGGACACTCAACGTTGATCTCACAGATCTCCTTGAGATGGACGGTGGGGATGAACTGGGGGAGCGAACCGAGGCAGCGAGAGCCGTTGATGGGATAGAGGATGAGATCCTAGGTGGACCGTTCAAGAAGCCACGACTTTGGGATGAGAGGGAGGAGATGGTGGGGGGGATAGCAGGTGTTTCAGCTTCTTCCCCTTTCTCTTGCTTCGGTCGCCTGTCCCCGTTGTCACTCACAGAGGAGAGAGCGGAGAGCGGCGGGGAGGGGGGTGATGGGACGGAGATGGTTGGGGAGCCGGGGAACCGGGGGGGAGGTATCATGGGATTTGATATGAAGGGGGCTTCGTGGGACTTTCTGGACGGGTGTTTGGATTTCATTTAAGGGACCTTTGAGGCGCCTCTAAAGATTCCATTTTGAGGGAGAATGCAAGGGGCAGCAGTAGCAGGAGGGGGGGAAAGCTGTGGAGGCGGGGGGTGGGCCTGCTGAGTGCAAGGTCTTACCTTGTTTGTATCCTAGCGACAGTTTATTCGACACTCAATTGTGTCTACTATGGGGTGTTTTAGTGTGTATGGGTTTGGGGTGAGGGAATAGGTGTTGGGACTGGGAGGGAACAGAGGGGGTGAAGAGGGGAGTGGGGCGAGTGGAAAAGAGAAGGAGCACTGCGGTGCTCCTAGCCTTGTGCTGCCAGTGCAACCAGCTATGGATTGCGCTTCTCAAGTTATGATCGCAATTCACAACCAAGTCGACGAAGGAGGGGAACCGGAGAGGGCGGAGGAGCGGGAGGAGGGGGGTTGCTATCAGCAGCTGCTTCCCAACGTGGAGTGGCTTGAAAGATAGATGACGATCAAACTCAAATTCTGCGTGAAGACTTGTGAAGAGGAGAGCTCAACTGTCGGGCATTGACTCGGCAATGTCAATTTCCTGCTTTTCTTTCATTTTCGTTTCTTTTCTTTGAATTGTCAGGGAATAAGCTGCCCTTCATAGTAGGGCCAGTTTTATCTATGCAGTGAGCTATGAAGGCTCCTGTTGCTAAAATACTATTGCTAGTTGCGTTGTTTCTTATTTGTACTCTGTTTCCATCCATATGCTTCTGTTATCCAATGGTTTAAATGTAAACCATTCTGCAATTCTGGTCCTTGTGTTGGCATAAACGAATCTGAGGAAGGAATGACAGTCAGACATTGTTGAATGAAAGGGGTCTCCTCGTGTAACAGGCTTGTTTTTATTTTTTTTACGCAGGTAGTACACAGGTCATCTTTACAATGGTCAATATGTATTGCATCAACAATCAGCAACAAGGTACACTACACACCCGTAATAAGCCTAAACGAGTCAACAGCAGCAGCAGTGTCACACCCTTTTGCTGATTCTTGGGCGATGTTCGGCAGCGAGGGGAGGGGGTTTGATGGAGGATCAAAATGGCGGGCATCCAGGCTCGACCAGTACGAACCAGGCAAAACACTTCTGTCAGGCTAGAAAAATGTGAAAAAAAAAAAAAAAATCGAACGTAAGCCTAAATCGCGACGCGAACACCAAGCTAGGTGGTAACCTGCGCCGCATCCTCCCCCAAATCCTCCCGGGATCGCTCCCGCGTGCTCGCGGGAGCGAGCTGCCCGCGGGCAAAAAAAAAACTAAAACCCACTCGGAAGGCACGCGGCTTGGGAGCATCAACCCTAAAATTTTAGGGTTGAGGCTCCCGAACGGCATGCAGGTCGCGATGGGGAATAGTTTTTTTTTCCCCGGGCAGAAAGCTTCCGCTGGCTCCGCGCCCTGGTGGATTCGAAACCCACCAGGAGAGGGACCTGGTGGATTTGCGCCCACCAGGGCTCGGATGAACCAAATTGCACTCCCGTGAGTGGCCTCACCCACGGGGGATGTAATGGATTCCCTCAACCACGAAATTGTTCTATGATTGTACCCCACACTCTAAACTGACGGGTAAACCGGACATCGGAAATGTATTGCAGCACAGTTGTATTCAATAAGGTCAAATGGGTGAGTACCAGGGCTAATTTTTGGTTTTGAGCAACCCTTATGATCAGTGCTGCACCTAAGCAAAAACCTGATTATCAGTGTGACCCGGTAGGAAATTTCTTTTGCATCAGGGTTCAGGCTAGGTTTGAAAATTTTACCCTGAGGCATCAGTGTAAGACTTGTACAAACCCTGCTTAGTTATTGTTACAATGAGTTTAGTCCGAGTTGAGTCCTTGGCGTTGTGTAGAGCGAAACTGTATTTCTGGCCTATAGTGGCCCACTTCGTGCCAACACATGTACGCAAATTCAGGTTTTGACAGTTGGCCAACGGGAATCCCTAGTTACGGGAAAATGGGGGGAGGTACGGTACTAGCTTCAGGGTAAAACTCGCTAAGAAGAACGGTTACCCTGGTGCATCAGTGTGCCTTAAACGTATACCCTGGCTGATCAGGAAAATCACAGCTCCAAAAAAAATTACCCTGAGGCATCAGTGTGACTACCAAAAACCACCCTGATAATCAGGGTATCAGGGTGATTTACACTGATAAAATTTGGCCTGGTGAGTACGACATTTAGGACATTCATTTTAATTTATGGTGTTAAATGTTTTCGGGAAGTGATATACCCAATCCCATCGCAACAGTAAAATGAGGCAGGGAGAAGAAAAACTGTTCAGCTCACGAAGTTTCGTTTCGTGCGGCTGCAGTTTCGTGGGCCCCCAATTCCCGCGTCGCTCATCCGCACCTTTTCCCCCAAAGGTTCCGCTTGCGCCTGGACCCCAGACTTGGAGTCAACGCTGGTTGACTCCGAGTTGACCACCCCGAACTAGAAACCCTAGCTGAGAATTTCGATCCCTCCCTCCATCCCTGAGTGGATCCCTTGATGCGCAACGTAGACTGTCTTCTACTAGGGTATTATTTGGTACTACCATCCTTGGAGATAAGCCAAGGCCGCCACCTTCAGCACGGAACGTTATTACACCTTGCATGCGAGGTTGATGACAATGCTACCCCTGGTGAAAAACCAAAAATGGCAGTGTAGCAGCAAATTGATGAAGGCGGTCAATTAAAATTAATGAATGTGTACAAAACATAAACTGAAGTAAACAAGAGGGATGGCTCGCAAGGCACACGGTTCGAGGGTTTACCGATTGGTGCCCTTGCCCATACGAGTGAACCTGAAATGAGATAAAACGCCGGGATTAAGTACGGAAAATGTGACGCCACAAACCAAAAGTGGAAACGACCTCGGAGGTGCATGAACGGGCGGCATGATGGCGTACGATTTGTGGAGCAAGGCTTTTGCAAAGCGGACGACAAAACTTTTGTAAAACCAAACATTTTCAAGTTGACTCTACATTAGAGTTGAACTCACTTGACAATCTTGCCGCCGTCGGCAGTGGTAACCACGGATTTCGCCGAGAGCTTCACTGCAGTTGACTTATTGACCTTGTTCGCAGTCTTGCCAATCATCGTGTAAACCAGCACGTTGTTCGGCGCGGCGGCTGCCAGATTCCCCACCACTGCGTCAGCGGGAGACATGAAACCAGCTTTCGCTGTCCAGCCAATGGACATCCAACCGGTCTCGGCGCCGCTGCCAGGCTTAGCCTCGAGTGCAGCAATGATTTCGTCGTTCTTTTTGTTGGAGGTCGCGTGTGATAGAAGAAAACGGTGGTGGGGCAATTTGATATGCCCCCAACCCACCGAATGTGTTTCGGTGCTCACCGTTTGAGTGAGCTGCAGGTTTCACGAAGTGCGTGGTTTGACTTCGGAAGACCCACTCAACTGGTGCCACATGGCAACATAAGAACAATCGAGACAGAAGTAGAATTCGGCTCGGTGAAATCCGGGTGTCGAATTTCACCCCTACGAAATGTTACTCGAACTTTCGCGAGTGCACCGCGGTTCGAGGTTACTTGTGCGGCTCGATGTTGATTGCATGCTATAAATCTGTTTGCATTGTATTGCATGTATCATAGTGAAACTCAGAGTTCTTTGTACAAGGTACATTCGAACACAAATTCTAGAGAGCTTCTATACTTGCATTCTAGAGCACCACCTAGCACGTGAACGCCGATATCTCGCTCGATACTTAGGCGATCGACGTGCTTGTGTGAAAGAACGAGGAATGTGTGCACTAGGAAACGGGTGGGTACAAGTAGGAAAACCTAAAAGTGTTGTACCCCATATTATCTACCCCACTACAGCCTACACAGACTATAGCATATAAGTTTGACACACCCCCATAGGCAAAGTGGGGGAGAACAAGAGGTCACAAGACCAGTCAAGCAAAGCACAGTAAGCTCAGGGTGGATCACAACGTCACCACACATTCCGAGCACAAGTTCAAGGCCACAAGGCCAGTTCACATGCAAGATTATATATAAAGGTAAACAAGCAAGTGCAGGTATAGCTAGATCACAGTACAAGCAAGGTCAAGAAGTGAGCAAGTGAGGCCAAGTAGGCACAAGACCTAGCATCGTACAAAAGCGCTGATGATCACAAGGCGGAAGTGCCTTGGTAAAGATATCAGCAGTGTTGGCCTGAGAGGCCACGTAAGCAAGGCGCAGCTGACCACGCTGCTGCAGCTCACGAGCAAGAAAGTAGCGAAGAGCAATGTGCTTCGTTCTGTGCTCCAGTCTGTGCTCCCGACACAAGGCCAGCATGGCCTTGTTGTCTACGTACAGAACTGGAGGAGAACGAGGCGGCTCTCCTAGGTCAGTCAGCAGGTAGGTGAGCCAGCGTAGCTCCTGTGCAGCCATGGCCCCTGCGTAGATCTCAGCCTCACAGCTGGAGCCGAGAACAGAAGACGAGCGGGTAGACCGCCACGAAACAGAGCCGGAACCAAGGCTGAAGGTGTAACCCTGCGACGACCGCTGCGTAGCCTGGTCGTCAGCCCAAGAAGCGTCTGCGTGACCAGTGAGGACCACTGAACGCCGCCCTCCAAGCACTAGCCCCATGCCCGACGTACTGCACAAGTAGCGCAATACCCTCTTCGCTGCAGCCATGTGCTCTGGTCGGTGTCTCCCAGGAGCAACATAGCGTGCCAAGATGCTAAGAGGGTATGCAAGGTCAGGTCGAGTGCAGGTCATCAGGTACATGAGGCAGCCAACAAGCTCTGGGTACGGGCCACTCGGCTCTACGGACTCATCCGAAGGCAGAGCTGAGAGCGAGTGGCGAGTAGACAGAGGAGTGGCCTGAGGCGAGGAGTACGTGAAGTCGAAGCGCTGAAGGACCTGCTGCACCATGTGTGACTGAGTCAGGGTAATGGTGCGTTGTGCTCTGTCCCGGGTGATCTGCAAGCCAAGGTAGCTGCGCAGTTCACCCAGGTCTGTGCACGTGTGTCTCTTCTGCAGCTCGGACTTCACGTGGGCGAGTCCAGCAGTGTCAGCAGTGGCAAAGACCAAGACGTCGACGTACACGAGGATGTAGAACGGCGGCAAAGAGGTGTCGGTGCGTAGAAATAGCGACGGGTCGGCAGTAGAAGGAGCAAACCCAAGAGCCGCAAGTGTAGTCCTCAGTGTGTCGTGCCACTCACGGGGCGCCTGGCGGAGACCGTAGACTGGCCGCCGGAGGCTCCATTGGGTACCAGGAGGAAACGACCCAGTGAAGCCAGGTGGGCGGCGCAGCCAGATCTCCTCGTGCAGGCTGCCCTGTAGAAAAGCAGTGCTGAAGTCAAGAGAGTGAAGCTCGTAGTCGCGCTGAGCGGCTATGTGCAGCAGCACCCGAAGAGTGGTCATCTTCGGGGTGGGAGAGAAGGTCTGAAAGTAGTCAACTCCCTGCCGCTGACTGAAGCCTCGAGCCACGTAACGCGCCTTGAAGACAGGCGGAGAACCCGGCGGCCGCTTCACCCTGAAAATCCAC